CTGCCAATGCATCTCCAGGAAAGCATCAAGGAGATGGAGATGCTCTAGATTAGCTTTTCATGCCGGCCACCACACTGTTCCTTGCTGTCTCCTGCCCACCCGTCCACCTCCCAAAACATGCTCCCGTGGTCCCCACCAGCCTTACCCACAACCCACCTCCCTGCACCAGCATCAAGCCTGTTTCCTCTCATCCCCATTTTCCTTCTACACCTCCAGGAAATAGAGCTCTGGCTCTCTGCTCCCTAACATCATCACCCATTCTCCCAAATCACAACTGCAACCATTTCCTTTCTACTCACCCTCCTCCAAACACAGTTGTCTGCTCCCTCCCTCCCAGACCTATCCTGATTCCGACTATTTTGGCACAAGGCAGTAGCTTCCACCTCCGCTCATTTTATTTCCATAAATATTGCTCTCTAGGAAGAGGCCCTTCCCCATTCCTCAGGCAATACTAAAATTTGGATTTTTGCAAAGGGCTGATAATCCCATTGTTCAGTTCACTGCACATTTCAGTTTGCAGGATTGCAACCCTTCATTCTCCTCAGGCACCACTACTTCTATGGGAAATTTTCCAGAGAAAGTATTTCACAAGCAGCCACTGAAAAATAAATAAATATGGTTTTAGCAGTCTCCCTCACCAGCTTTCTGAGGCGGAATAATCATAGTCTTTCCAAACTCCAACCTCAGGAACAAAGTATAATGGCAAATGTCAGACAGACCACTTGGGATTAAACAGAAGACCAATGGCTTCCTTTATTCAGTCTGACATCTTGAAAACACTCCAGGAGAAACTCATACATCCTTCTGGCTCTACTACATCAATTTGTTCGAATCCATCCTGCTTTCCAGCAGAGATGCCTCCTCTCCCTGCTCTCCAGGCCTGCCAGACACCTGCTGCTCTGATGCCACCTCCCCTGCACAGAGCCCCCCTGCTTGGGCCAGTGGCTTTAGGGGCAGGTGCCACATCAAAGCACCACTTGGCTCCTGCAGCTCTGTCTTGATTCACCAAAATGTGTGATAAAGGGGCAGAAATGGGTGTGAGCAAACAAGAGGTGGCATTAGAAGTGGCTGAGGGGACAGGTCTGCTCAGCCTGGCAGCTTTTGGTGAAGGTAGGAATTTCACCTAACCAGACTCCCTGGAAAATTCAGGAGTGTTGTGGCATAGATTCATCTGAGGGAGATACAGATGGATTCTTCTCCTAGAGCACAGAGACTGCTTGTGGAGCCAGGCAGGATTCAAGTGCCATGGAGCGTCCAGAAGCAGGACCAGCAGCACTGCTGTTACTGAGGAGTGGTTTTCAAAACTTCTTCCTCCATCGAGCAGCTGTGGCTGGATGTGGGGTAAAAGCAGCGGTAAAAGGCTGTTGGGAATTTGTGGACAGAAGCAGCAGGAGAACGGCCTAGTAAAGTGCTCAGCTCAGTGGCATTTCTCTTTTGGCCTAAAGAATTTGGGAATGCAATAGCCCATCTCCTCTGAGATGATCAGTGAAGCTCTTTGTGCTAGCAGTTAGAGTCCCCTTGGGTTTGATAGAAAAACAAAAAAAAAAACAGTCAAAAAGTCTCTAGCGATGGCCTTCAGCCATTAGAGACCAGAGCCTGTGGTCTACAGGGGACAAAAAGGTGGACAGCAGTATCCAGCAAGGCTGACTGAGGTCAGTCACTTCAGTTCTATAATTAGGAAATAAATAGCATGCTAAATAAACCCAGAGTAGAAGCTTTTGAGGAGCGTGACAGAGCTGGAAGTTGGCAAGGAGCAGCTGAATGAGAATGTGATGGAAAAATACCGAGCAGGTGGGACACGTGCCACCTCCCCGGCTGGTTTGTATGATGCAGCCATTCTCCCATCCCGGGAACTTGCCTCTGTCCGTTGCCAGCTCCTCAGGACAGAGGCTGGGCTATTTAGAGCTCTGCAAAGTGCCCATTACGTTTTTAGACACCATTTTCAGAAAACACGTAAGAGTGCAAAGAGCACTGTGCCTCCGGATCCAACAGGCTCCGGAACAGCACGGCTCTGCAGCCCACGAGCCAAAGCCTCGCTGGCACTGCAGGGAAGGCAGAGCGGGAGAAGAGGAAAAAAGCATTGCCTTTATTTCCATCTGCAAAGCTTTTTTTGTGCTCACATGTCACTGACAGGCACTTTGCTTATTTTCAGCTGGCAATCAAGCCCTGCCTAAGAGATGTTTTCGTTTTTGCTCCCTGCTACACACTGGCAGAGATGAACACCCCGATGTTTCCTCCAGCAAAAAGGTTCCCTCGGGGGTGCAAAGTCCACAGGAGTCCTTCAGCACACGGCGCGTTTGCTGAGCAGGAGAAAAGCTGGGCCAGGGGAAATGAAGCAGAAAAAAGGGTTTGAGTTCCCTGTGGCAGCAACAGCCAAAAAGAGAGAGGGATGTGAAGAACAAAAGGTGATTGTCACCACGGTGTTGCACGGGGGTGTCTTCAGGCTGGCTCAGCAGCACGTGGAGTTCTCTCTGCCTGGTACCTTTCCAATTGCTGGGTTTAAAAAGGTGGAATTATCATCAGTCTTTTTTTGGCCTCTGTACAGAGGTAATTGCCTGCCCAAAGTACAAGGCAGAGTGCATTTTTCCCAGTGCCTGCAGTTCACATACATTTAGCCTCTTTGGCAGTATCTACACTACTCAGAGAGGGATCCTCCTGCCTCTAAAGCATTAGGGTGTTTGTAGACACCCCCATCCCACTTCCCTGCACTAACATCAGGCAGAAACATCTGCTGGGCTGGAGGTGCCAAATTCTTCCCTATAAGACTGGGAGTGAAGCTCGGCCCTTCCCAGCACCCTTCCTTTCGGGATGGTTCAGGCTCCTGCTGACATTTCCTGAGCATGAGGTGTTTGCTGTGAGTGGCACAGCCTCCCTCCTGGCTCCGGGCCAGAGCGCTCCACCTCTGGCAACACTGCTGTTCCCAGCACCAGCCCTGCGGAGCAAGCAAGCCGGCCAGAACAATTCCCAGTGTACCCTGAGGGAGGGCAGCTCCCTTCACATAGCCCTTTGTATTCCCAAAATGCTCCTGCTCCCTCCCAGCCTCCCCAGGTACAGCTGGAAACTCCCCCAACATTGCTCAGAGTGAAATGCCAGTGACTTGCACCGATTCTTCCCTTCCTGTTCCTGGAGACATGGCACCTTTTCCATCACTTCCCTTCTTACTGCAGTAAACAAAACTCAGGATTTTGGCTGCTGCTGCCACAGCCACCTGTGAATTTGTGCTGCCACCTCTCCAGTGTTAAGTCCCCTCCAGTGCTTGTCTCTCATTCCTCACTGATGCATCTGAGCAACCCTGGTGCAAAAGACCATCCTATGTTTCATTTCTCCTCAGCAAGAAGAGGGCAGCTGAGAGTTTGGTTTGCTCTGCTTTGTGGCAGGGTCCATAACAAAGCTGTCTTCTAACAGCTGAGCTTCTCTCAGGTCAGAGAAATCTCCAGCAGCCTCAGGGATTTAAAACAAAAGCCTTGCCCGGAGGCTCAGCTCCAGTTCGTGGCATGTTTTCCTGCCTGGATCTGTTTTTTCCTGCCTGGATCTGATGGTGAAGGAGCTAAGGTACACCTGGAGTCAATTGAACTGCAATTTTGTGTAATCAAACTCAAACACATTCCTGAAATACTTAGTTAAGCCTGATACCGGATGTTTATCTGCTGAGCCTATCTGGTGGCTTGATCACAAGCATAACTCTGAGACACACCAAACCTCAGCCCAGCTGAGTCGCTGACAAATTTAGCAACCATAAACCCTGGGCATTCCCACAAGGTTAATAAAGCGATTAGGAAAACTGGTGTTTGACGGAGTGGTGCGGGATCACACCTGGAGCAATCGAGGGGGAGAGGATGCCGCTCTTTGCTCTGCTACCATCGTTTCAAGCAGTTCCCTCTCTGCCCTTCCCCAGAGCTCCCTCCTTCCCTGTGACTCAGGCTACAGCAGTTACTCATCCCTCCACATGCACAGCGCCCTGGAAAATGTGACTTGCTCCTTGAGAGCCTTCTCTACGTAGGAAGCTCTGACTCCCAGTAAACAGAGGAACCAAAATGTCTGAAATGACAGGAAGGATTTTTCCCACCCAGTTATATAAAGCAACCACGAGCACAGCTCGGAACAGGTGATGTTACCAGCAGCGTAACACATGGCTCTTTCGGGATAACACAAGAAAAGCAGGTTTATAAACATCGCACTGCAGACAGTTTGTTATCTTTTGTTTTCCTGCAGTGCCTCCCCAATGTGGCAGGGTCCATCCACCTCCGAGTGGATTTCGCTGTCCCTGTCACACACCCCACTCGTGAGGAGGACGCCGGGCACTCCTGTGCCTCTGAGGGACCAGGGAAGGCCCTTCCCTGCTGCTGGCACAGCCCAAGGGTGGTCCCAGTGTTTGCCACACACAGGGCGGCCTGTGGGCCCATGGCAACCAAAGCCAGAGTGGTGGAGGCCCTGACACCATTTTTAAGGTCCTAAAGTATTGTTCCTAAATGACTTGTAGTTGCAACACATTTATTACGTGAGCAGCATCCAGCACCAGCTCATCATCGGCCTGGAGGGGGTTTTGCCCTCAGAACGGCGGAGTTCCGTATCACTGAGGGGTGAACGTGTCCCTCATCTGGAGCCGCTCCCCACGCAGCCTCCCCCGCCCCAGGGGCGCTGGCTCCGGCGGCAGGAGCGGCCAGGCTGAGGACAGAGCTGCGCCTCCCTCAGGCTCTGTCATGGCGACCCCAGCCCCTCTCAGGCACCGGCAGCCCCGCCCCCCGCGCCCTCCACCGCCAATCAGCGCTCCCCGCCTGACTGACAGGCGCCCGAGCCAATGGAACCGCGGTATCCCGCCCAGCCTCGCCTCCTCCAGCCAATGGCACCCGCGCGTCTCCACTGGGCGCGCGAGCTCCCGCCCTCAGATGGCCTTCTGACCAATCACCGCGCGGTCCTGGGCGGAAGCGGCGCGGCGGCGGCCAATGGTACGGCGAGGGCGGCCGCTAAAGGGCGGCGGGCGGCGGGCCCGCGGCAGACGGGCGGGAGCGGCGGCGGGAGGAGCGGAGGGGCCGTGCGCCCGGCTGGGCCTGCAGGTGAGGTGGGGAGCGCCTTCCCGCGGGGCTCCGGGGGTGGCCGGGCCTCCCTCCTGTTCTTCCCACGGCGGTGCATGGCCCCAGCGGGCTGCCCTGGGGCCAGATCTCGCCCTGCCCAGTCGCCATGCGTTGTCCTCGCGTGTCTGTTGCCCGGGGCGGAGGTGGGGTGTCCCGCGGCTGTGGGTTTGGTGTCCGGTTCTCCCCGGGAGTGGAAGCTCTGGGTCTGGCGGTGCACTGACAGCCGTCCCCTGCCCTCCCTGGGTGTGTGAAGCCGGGCCGGGAGCTGCACATCCCTGTGCTCGCAGGGAGGGAAGGCCGGGGTGGGATGCGATGGGGAGCTCAGTGCGGAGCAGAGAGTGATCCTTGTGTGGGTCAGAGCTAGGGCAGCTGTGCCTGCGGCTGTCGGGTCACACTGTGCCCCCCAAACAGCCTCTTCCCTGGTGCTCCAAGGTCCTGACCGTGCTGGGAGCATCTCGCATCAGCTTCAGGCTCCCTTTTGTTCCGTGCTGTGTGTACCTGCTTGTCAGCCTGTGTGATGGGACTGCTCCTTTCTGCACCTTCACGTGTAAACTGTGACTTCCTCCAGCACACGGTGGGTCGGTGTATCTGTTACAGCTGATGAAATCCCTCACCTGACACTAACCTCTTCGAAGAGGTGTGTCAGCAGAGCTTTATTCACGCAGTTATGGCTGGAGGGGATTGCATTCTGCATTTTCACGCAGGTCTCCTCAGAGGATTCGTAAGGCTTCCTCTTATTGTTGATGTGCAATTGTCACTGGCCTGGCAAGCACTAAAGATTCCTGTCTGCCTCTTGCAGATTGCTGCTTGGCTTCTACAGCACTGGTGCCTCATTCTGTGACAAATGTTAGTGGCTTGTTAGTCAGCTAACTGATGCAGTGTGTTCATCTTACAGACCTTATTTATCAATTATTATCACACTCAACCATATTGGTAATATTGCCTAGGTTGACATGTTCTAGTCCCTGCTGATATGGTGTTCATAGGACACTCAGCTCAGCTGTTTGCATTTGTCATATCTCATCTTCAGACTTTCTTTGATAACATTTATTTCCTGTGCAGGGAGTTTTGTTACTGACAACTAGTCTTTTGTTGTTGTGTTATCTTTTCTTGGTTTTCCTATGTCCTCTCTTAGGTGCTTGCTTAGCTCTCGTGTCACAAGAGGAGTTTCAATGCCTTCTCCTGTCTCTTGGATCAGTGGACATGCAGATGTTCTTATTTGAGGCCTGTCTTATTTTGGTCTCAAAGTCAAGAGTAAGAACAGTAAGGTTATTAAAAGGGAAATCAGAGCTAACATTTGGGCTCTTCTATTTCTTGCCTTATTCTTAAAAATAGTTGCTTTTGCACAGAGGTGAATTACCTGCACAGAAGATGGGTCTGATCTAAGATTGCACCAAACTGTCTTTTTAGGGGTGGAAAAGATGGATAATTTGGGGATAAGTTCTTCCATCATGCAAAACTGTTTCTGAAGAAGTTAAACTTGAAAATTAATTTGTTCTAGTCTTGTAAAAGCTATATTTTTCTATTCAGGGAATGAATAGCAGCTTAAGCTCTTAGTGTTTCATAAAGCTGCTTTATTAAACTTGTCATGGGAAAACACAGAGATTAACACATGGAAATAGTTGTTCTGGGATGTGGCACTGGGAAAGAAAGATGGCAGAATAACGTGCTCTGTACTTGACACAGGTTGTCTGAATCTACCAAGTTCCAGCTGTACTTCCAGGTGTGATTTGGTGCACAACAGGAAATGGTGGCTTTAGAGCAGCGATTCAAACCTTCTGTAGTTTAACCTCAGTCAGTATTGGAAATGGCCTGGATGCTGCTGGATTCACACTGTCCTGTTATTCCCCTCTGTTGCTCTGTATGTCTTGCCTCTTCATCTCTACTCTCAAACAGCTGGCTCTGGCAGTACTGAAACTTGGGATAAGTTAACAAAGAACAGGGTTTAGCAAAGTCTCTGGTAGGGGTGTAAGTGCTGGGATCTTATAAAAAGCTGGGTGCTTATAATTCCTATTGAAAGGTGCAGCCTGAAACTGGTGGTTTGGACTTTCCAGCAAAAGCCTAAATAATCAGCTTTGCTAGTATATTGGAATCTTCATCTCTGCTTTTGAGTTTCTCTGGAACAGTCTTTCATGAGGTGTTATAGTTCTGAATTACTATTCTTAGGGTGCTATAGAGCAATTGATCTTCTGAGCAAATATTTGCCCTTCTTCAGTCTAAATATCTTGCGAAGTTTAAACTTATATACAGTTAAACAGCTGATCAAACTCAGCTGACTGAGTGCAGTACCAAACAGTTGACTTAATTTCAGTGTGCAAGGGCACATTGTCCTTCTGATGGAGAAGTGAAGTCCCACTTGCCCAACATATGTGGGTGGCAGTGATGCTAACCCAGCCAGGCAGCTAACTGAGCCTCTTCTGGCTCTGGGAAGGGTTGTATGCCCAAGGGCTTGTCTCTTCTTCAGCTGTATCAGGTGACTTAATAATAAAGATTGTCTCTGACTGCCAACCTTGCTCTGCCAATATCAGGCAGCAATAATTCAAAATGCCTTGCAAAGCAGTTCTGTACAAACCAGGTGCTTGAAACATCTTTGTGCCTGTGCTCCGTTAGAGGTAACGGCAGTGGAAGGAGGTGTCACACTTGGCAGGGTATGGATTTTTATCTGTATCTCTAGATTGACCAAGAAGTGCAGTTGCCTTGCACTCTCTCTGCTGTTGAGAAATATTTGTTTCCCTTCATTGTGGGTTTGGTCTGACTAAAGTAAATGACGGTAACAACTTCCTCTACTAATATGGATTAAGCCCTTGCCAACACCATTCTGAAGTGTCTCATCTATTAGTTTCAAATAACTGAGATACAGCCCTATTCAGGACATTCAGTACTCAAAAAGCATAGTACAGGCTCCTCGAAAGGGGACAAAAGACTGCTATTGAGAGGGTCATTCTTCAGTAATTTGTCCTGCTTCTAAACTTAAATCTTCAAAGATGCTTTTGCATAGAGCTGCAGGTTCCAGAAAGGTTATGGTGAGGGTGTTCAAGCCTGGCTGTCCCTTAGCTGGAACACCCAGTTCTGTGAAGGTTGGGCGTATGTGACTATGAAAGGTTGCACTAAGTGAAATAAGCAGATGTACAGTCACTTACAGTGAATGTCTTTGTAAGAGGTAAGAACGAAATGTCCTAAGACGTATGCCTATAATATCCCTAGCCTCTCACGTGGAATTCAGCAGGAGAGAGGGCAATGTAGCTCTTCAGATGTAGAGCTGCTGGTAATCGTAGTGCTCAAAAACCTCTCTTTCAGTTGGCGTTCTGGTAGGACCTGAGTTCTTGGCAGTGGTATTAATTGTGTGTTGGTCAGGTCCTGTCTCTTTATATGTAGTTCTTCTATCCTGAAATGTTGCTTCATTTTCAGTGTCATTACATGTACTGGACTGCTCTAGTGTGAGCCTTATATCAGTCATGAACAGACTCTGAGAGAATGACTCTGCAAATCTTCTGTTCCCCTGTGGACAGGAGCTGAGCTGCTTGTCAGGGGAAAAATAAGGTGTTTGAAGGCCTCAGTCAAGTGGCACCTCAGCTTTGGATCATATTCAGGTATAGGTGTCTTCTTGAACTGCACCAGTCTTGAATAAAGGTCTCTTACCTGTGTTGTGCTTTGGGATAGGTGGTCATTCCTTGCTATGCAGCTGGTCTGGTGTGGAGCATGTTCCCTACTTGCTTGTCTGTGCACCCTGTGGCTGAGCAAACAGCTGTGATGTGCTTGGACTTTGAGCTGCTTCTCCAGTATGAACAGCTGAACTCTGCAACTGGAGATGGAAGGGTTGTAAATAAGGCTTTAACAACATGATGCTGTGCTTCAAAATATAGTGAGGGAATAGAGCAGACTCCTTGGGGATGTTGGTCTGTAATGTAGTTTTTATTAGCTCTCCTAACTCTATGGCTTGATGCTGGGATCGTTCCCTCAACTGCTGAACGTGGATTGTCAGGTTCTCTACAGTCTGTTTACTCCACTTCTTGGCGTGAGCTTGATGCAGCTCGCTGGCACAGGGTTGTGTGATAAGCAGCTAATGCTGTAAGGCTGTGGAAAGGTGTTACCCAGTATTTCTCTCTCTATGTAAAAGTAAGCTTGACCTCTTGTACAAGAAGTTGAAGCTTTGCCCTGCAGTTCCATGAGGTAGTGGTTAGGGTGTGACAGTCTCAACTCTCTGTATCTTATCTTAAAGGAAAGGCTTGCATTATCTAAGCAAACATAGTTATTTGATTACTGCAATTAATTGATTTCTGTGAAGTCAGTTCTGTGTTAGTTTAGTCATGTTCATCAGGTGTGTGCAATAAAAGCTAAGGCAGTGGTTTTCAATCTGTCTGAGACAAAGAGGAACCAGATAAGGCAACATACGCTAAGTCTACATAGCAGCCTCCTTGGGTGATACACAAAAGCTGCCTGTGGGGCAGTTGAACTATTTTTGATCAGCTAAAATGATATTGTGAAGAAACAAAGGCAGTTCCTGTAGTTGGAAGGAAGTGAAATTCAAGACTCATTTGACTGTAAATTGCCCTTTTTGAAGAACTGAAAGACCTAAAGATCCTTTGGCCCTGTTGGCTGTAGAATTGTTCTCAGGTGCTTTTTTAAACAAGTTGCCTTGGGATATACACCTGCCCTCTTAGGTGGTTGATTTCTGCTCTGAAGATGTAGGATTCCTCAAAGTCAAAAAAGGAAAAAGCTCCAGCTAAAGGCACCTGTCTTTCTGTGCTGATGGTGCCTTGGGATGTGAACTTTATCCCTGTAACCTCACAGTACCTCTAAACTTAGAATGAGCCAAGTATTGTAATTCATGAAAAGGTCAAATTCCAGTGAAGGCACCAGCCAAGAAATTTTTTTGGAACAGGGTGTAAACAACAGTTGGTGGTGTACTTGCCAACCAGCCAAATCCTGGCTTGGGTGCTGGCTCTGGCACGAGGTGAGGAAATTGCACCAAGGACTTCCATGTGCTGTCCAAGTAGTTTTCTTTTAAGCATCCTTGTGAGGGGACATGTCAGTGTGCCCTCTTTGTTTGGAGATAAAATCTGTCAGATGTTGGACAACAAAACGATGGTGGGCTTTGCTGGACTCCTGAGGACTGCACTTTATCTCTCATGGCCACATGTAACCCTAAGCTTAAGTGCTTGAAGTGCTCAGCTAATTCTTAATTATACCCTCTGTGCTCTGAGATCTGAGACTTAGTTGGCTCTTTGAAATGGCCAGAAGTACCGAGTGATGCATCAAGATGATCTCAGCACTTGTTTCACGTGTTTTTCTTTAAGCTACCACGGAAGGTTATGGGAGGTTTTGCTCTGGGTAAGCTTGGGCTGGGTACATGCCAGTCTCAAGATAAGTGGTGTCATGACTTGTTTTGTGTACTTTAACTGATGAGGTATAGTGCTGGCGTGGCCCTAAAATACTTGTATCTATTTAATTTTCTTGAAACAAAGTAGCAGGTTAGACATGACATTTTTCCATAAAAAGGAAATAATTTTTTAATACAAGTGCTGGGTAAAAGGCAGGATATGGGACTGCACAATAAAGCTTGAGGCTTTCTTCAGGATTCCTCTTGAACAGGTTCCTGTAGTTATGTAGATTGTGCGCCTTCAGACTGCCCTCCAGTGTTTTACAAAAAGTCTGGCAGCCTTTCCCATCAGGACACAGGCTTCAGAGCCTTTCCCAGGTATATTCATCTTCATCTGTATGGTTTCAAAACATCTTCCTCTGCACTGAAACCCTTGAATGCTCACTGATGTGACATTTATGTACACTTCCTGGAGTGAGATTTGAGCAATATGCATTAAACTTGCCTTTGTTTAAAAAACTATGTACTGCTCTGGCTCTCAACCCTTTCCTTAAGTTCCCTTCTCCATAACGTGGTTCTAAATATCTAACCTGGCAGTGACAGGCCTGTAATTTCTGGTTTTGCAGTGTATCTTTCAGAAGAGGCATTAGCTTTGGTTGATATTAAAGACAATTAATTTCCTAGAAACCTTCTCCAAAGAACTAATTTCAGTGAAACAGCCATTCTTTTCCCTTCAAAGAGGTGGTAAAAAAACCTGACTTCTGATCTGTCTAGGCTCAATTCTTCTTAAAGTAGTAGGGTGGGTTTGCTTTTCTCTTGTCTAACATACTTTCTTTGAGTTTTATTCCCCAAGTGGACACTAAAAATATATTAAACCAGTCCAAGAAATGTGTGGTGCATTAGTTAACGAAGTCTGTCTACTCAGCCTGTCAGACAGCTCCTTTAGCTCTTCTGAGTCTTTGTGGGTAAGAGAGAGTATTATACTACTTGGTAGAAGCTGTAAAAGCATAAGAAAGGGGATTTTTAAAGACTTCCAGTGTTGGCCAGGCATGCTTCACTTTGGTGTCCAGCTGAGCTCTGAGAGCACCATTGAGCCAGAGTGCTGACTGGTGGGAGGGCAACCATGAGGCTTTTGTACTGAGCTGCCATTCCTGGAAAAGGCATTCCTTCAAGATTCTTCAGTCAATGTAATGGAGCATAAAATATCTTGCTAGTGGAGTCCCTTTCAAAGAGGCCTTTGCTCTTGTCTGTTCCATATAGCTGCATCTTTGCTTTAGCCAGAAGCATTTCCAGTGCTTTAGTGAAATGAGGCTTTCAGTGACTCGTTAAAAGGCTTGAGGGAAGGGCCCTGTGGGAATGGCTTCCTTTAATGTCTTTGCTTTTATAATGTTGGCTTTCCAGTATGCAGAGTCAGACTCTGCTTCCATGGGTGGAGGAGCTGCAATGCTTGGTAGTTACCAAATCCTGATTGGGCCACGTTGAGTCACAGCGTGAAGTGACTTCTGTCCATGGGAAACCTGTAACTGAAACGTGTACAAGTCCTGGATTTGCTCAAAGTTGTGAATTCACTTACAGTACAAGTAAATGTTTTGATGGCTTTTCCAAAACCCAGTGTCTTTGAAAGGATAGTAAGGAAACTGCTGTAGCTCTACCGGCTTTTGTTGTACTTGTTTCTATTCCTGTCTGGGAAGGGGGGAATATGTTTTTCTTTTTTCTCACTGTACTTGCACAGGTCAAGTGCACTCTAGCAGTAGTGCTGAAATGTTTCCTGTAACATGATTTTCATCTTTTTGTGATGAATGTGAAAATGAAAAGACCACAGATCCAGCCCTTGCTTTCCAGCGATTGATTTTAAAGTTAGCTCTGAGTCACAATTGGGACTTAAGATCATTACTTAGAAGGGCTGTTGGTCTTGGGGGCTGTCATGCCTGTGATTCTTTTTTAAATAAAAAAGTGTAATTAAGGTGCTTCAAAATAACATCCTTGGGGCCAAGACTTTCAAATTCTTTGTGTTCCTCCATGTGGATCTCAAACCCTGTTAGGATGGAAAGGCAGGCTTGGTTGCTTCCAGTACTATACTTACTGCCTCCTGCTAGTTTTGTCTAACCTGCCAGAAGTGAATCCAGCGTTCTTCATAGAGAAGAGATCAAATGTTTGTCCATTTAAATTAATGCTGACCCTGTTAGAGATTATTCTAGATTAAAATTTGTCTGGCTCAACACTGTGGTTATCTGTCCTTTTTTGTAAACAGACAAGTTTTTTTGGGTCAATGCAAAAAGGGTTTAACAAAACAGAAGCAAGGTGACCTTATCCCAGCTGGTGAAGAGAGAGGCATTTGTCCTATGTGATTAGAGACGGAGCTCAAATCCATTTTATTAAGATAAACCCTTGAAATTTTAGAGCAGAGTGCCTTGACTCAACCCCTGCAAATCTGCCCTGGCTGAGACGGGTCTGTGTAGGTCCTCAGAAATACCAGACTCTAGAGGAAGTACCTGAAGTGCCTCAGCTGGATCCATAGGGCTTGGAGTTTACCAATCTAGTCTTCATGCACTTAGATCCATTGCTTAAATAATCACTGCAGATACCTGTGCAACTGCAGCAGCAATGCCAGCGTTGTGTTACATCTACAGACTGATCTGAGCTTTTGGGTAAATACCCTGACAAATACATGATCCTCTAGCACATGTTTGAGGTGCGTAAGTTCAGTGAATGTGTGTTTAGACTGTCTTAAAATGGAAAAGTACTAGTTCACAAGTGTCAAAGCATAATCCTGCCTACCAACAGCTGATTTTTCTGTAAGCGATATCAAGCTGGTATGCTGTTTTAAGGGAGTGACAGGCTAAAATGAGACATAAAAGTATCAGAAAAGACGTGGTGCATTTGTAATCTGAAGATTATATGGGAGAGAGCGCTCTCAGGGAGATAGGACTTAGCTGGATCAGTTACACTGATTCACTGGTACAAAATCCTGATGACTAATTGTGCCCGGCATTATTTTTAACAAATTAACTAAGGTGAAAGCTGTAAATGGCAAACTAGCTTAAAATCCAGGTGGCAGGGAGGTCTGAGGTAACTCTTGTATTAGTGTCTCGTAATTTTCTAAATAAAACAATGAAAGGAAGATGACAACAGAACTCCTGGGAGTTTGAGCTGGAGAAGATTTGCTTGAGCACCTGGTTGTCCTGGAGTTCAGAACTTGGTCTGCTCTTCTGCCGGTTGTACCTTCCCTGGGGAAGCCATTTCTGTAGTTTGTCTGTTGTTTCCTACGCAACTGATGGTAGGGTTGGTGAAAATATAAGTGTGGACATGATACAGCTGAACATTTTACTTGAACTCTTCATTGAGATATGTGATGCCAATGTAATCTTCTGAATAGAAGACGACTTTTTGTGGCCCACTCTGCTCCCTTCTACTGTGACACTTAGAATTGGAAAGTAAAAGCTTCAGAACTGTCCAAAATCAAATGTCTCTTCTTTCCTCACCTTCTGTTCTGTGATGCATATGGTTATGGTGGCAGAAACTTGCAGCTTTCCAGCACACTGTTAATCAATAGCTGATGTCACTTGTGTTTTCTTCCAAGGGATTTTGGTGTAGCTGCGTTGAGTACAGAAAGTACTTCTGATGCTCTTCATTCCTGCTAGGAAGAATAAAGCTTTGATATGGTGTGTCCTGGTGGTGCGTTTTCCATTTGGAAGCAGCAGCTGTGGTAGGGAGCAGACAGTTCTGGAGCTTTTCCTGGAAGCTCTGATTCCCCATCGATTTGTTGTGCCTGTAGGAAGCCAACCCTAATTGTAAATATCACTTACACTTTTACGGTCACAGGCTGAAAGCTCTCTCCTTTATTGGCATCATCAAATTCTTGTAACAAGCCTTCTTGCATGTGCACTGGTATTAATTAGGTGGCTGTGTCTGAGCCTCCTGTGGCTCTCACGGTCTTGAAGTGTGATATGTTGTAACATCTCAAAAAGCAAGTGTGGGAACAAGCAGAGACTGTTTACAAGCTTCCGTCTGTAGGAGTGAGCTGCCTTCCTAAACCTGAATAAAAGTAGCAGGAAACTTCTTTCAGTCTGTCTTCACACTTCAGTAACAGTGTAGATATTGCACAAAGTTGACTAAAATAGTTGAGTCTGGCCTTTTAAATACAAAGGGATTAGGATAGTTTTTCTAACTTGGTACAATGCTGCACTGTCTTGCAGAGATGGGATCTGTCTCTGCTCATGAAGGTGTGTTTACATACTGCAGATGAATTAATATGCTGGAGGCAAGTGATCTAGTGTGGAATCTGTCCACTGGCAAGAGATTTCTAATGCAGATGGATCAGAGCTGAAGTGGTTATGACTGACTACACAAATCACTAGCAATGTCTGTGGTGGGACCTTTTGTATAAATTTGTGTTTATCCTTTCCAGCTGAGAGATGCAGCTTTGTCAGTAATAATCAATTTGCTTTTCCTGCCTTCACAGGGTTACTCCTGTAGCACGTGGATCCAGAAGGTGACAAGTCTACAGAGGGTTGGCAGTCTTTTCTGGCTTGGGGAAAATTTGAAATTGGTAAGACTTGGCTTGTCAGTTGATATTTTACGTGGGTTACCCATATGACATGAGGAAAGACCCAGGAAAAACCTGCACCTTCAACAACAACTGCAGCGAGCTGTTTGAACTGTGTGTTCAAAAGAAGCTGGATCAGTTTAAGAACTTGATTTCAAGCTGGAAGGATGTATTTTTCTTAATTCTTTTTCTTGCCTGTATTTCTTTGCTCTGAAGCCCTTGAAAGACTAGGTATTAATCTAGTCCTTCAGCTGCAGAACTGCAGTGAACTAAAAGAAATGCTGAAATTGCCAGTACATAAAGTGACCACCTTAAAGAGAGGCAGGATTTAGTACCAGTATTCTCATGGAATTACAAAACTCAGGCTGAGGAACTAACACAGTAGTTCTTTCAGGTTCTCATTTTCAAGTCTGTTTTGTACATCTGTGAAGAAACATACATCCAAAGCTGCTAAGGTGTCTTTTGCAGACTGACTTTTTACCTGGCTTCTGTTTGAGCTGTGGGTAGTCTTGTGCAAGATCCTGAATATATTGACTGGCTGCAGACTAGGGCTTGACACCTGAGACACTGGTTCAATTGTAATGCAGCACTGATTAGGAATAAATCTCCTTCCCAGTCGATCATCCAGTTTCTATTCCTTCTGTTGGTCAGGGTGCTTAGACCAGTACAAAATAAACTTCCCTTCATCTTTTAAGTTGCTAGGCTGAGTTGACATGCTAGGATTTCTTAGCAGTGTTGACTAACAGATTTAGTTGTTTAGCATAATTATGTATTTTACATGACATTTGATACATCCAACAATATATTTCTAAAAGCTTTAATATTTTTTTTTAATCTCCAGGCTCAAAATGAGTGCAATATTGGAAACCTCTGAGCTGCCAGCAGTGTTTGATGGGGTGAAGCTGGCTGCAGTTGCTGCTGTGCTGTATGTTATTGTTCGCTGCTTGAATTTAAAAAGCCCAACTGCCCCTCCTGAACTCATTTACCAGGACTCTGCTTTGGCCCGCTTTCTACTCAAATCCTGCCCACTTCTGACCAAAGAGTAAGTATATTTTTTCCATGTTGACCTGTATTATAGGAATAAGAGCTGCACTTATCCATTCTTCTGCATAGCGTGTTTCTTAAACCTGGGTGCAAATGAATGTCAGAGGGCAGTTTTGATAAAATAAACCTGTTCCAAGTCAAGCACTTAATTATTGTTAGCATCCCAGGTACCTGGAGTTAGGACCAAGCCTTGTTGGGCACAGCTCTCCCAGGATGCAGTCAGCACATGTTCCTGTTCTTGTACTCCTTTCTCTTAGGGAGGAAATCTCTTGGGGGTCACAGGGAGGAAATGGTTTTTATGCTGTGTCAGTGCACTTATAATGAACACAGGGTGGCTATTAGTTTTAAAGTGCCTACTCCTATTTGAAGTGCCTTAAGTTGATTGAAAACTAATGAAACTTATTACTGGGGAGAGCACATCATAACTAGTTTATTAAAGTGATGACATACTGGCCAGCTCTAAGGCTGTTGCATTCACTTCAGACTGACCTTATGTCAGCTGTGTATTTGAGCAGGCTGATCCTTGACCTTCCATTCTAGGACCTCCAGAATCAGTGCAGCTCTCACCTTCTCCAATAACCTTCACCAATAATAGGAAGCATTTAGTACAATTTCTCGAGCCTTTGGAGGGACAAGGACTTTGATTACAGTATTTATCTTCTGCAATCACTTTGAAAACTTGCAAGTCCTATTTAGAAGCCCTAAATACATCAATTATCTAGTAAGTGCTTAGTGCAGCTGCATGAACTTTCCTTTTGGATCTCAAAAGTCAGACTGACTTAAGGATAGTCATTCTAGGGGAGATGAGAGGCTTTTAGCAGTGCTGTGTTGGGTGTCTTGATTACAGAAGGTGTACAATATGAGGCCATGAGGTCTGTAAACTTTTAGAGGAAACAAAGCACTATCTGTTTTTAGATTAGAACCCAAAGAGGGTTCTGTGATGCACTCCAGGTTTGGTAATGTGTGTTTGGATTCTTGATTATGTCCACTGTCTTAACTGCAAAGCAATTACCTACCTAAAAAATGCATTAAGGAGGTTCAAGTTACTTGGTACCTTAGGCACTTGCCATGTCAGTGTAACAGTCCAGATTGACATGTCCATAGTCACTGAAGGAGAAAGCATGAAGCTGTGCTGATCATGAAGTCTTGAAGGCACGTAATTTTCAGCTAATCTTTGGTAATAAGTTGGAAGCTAATTCAGAGTCCATATTACTCCTATTTCAACTCTCCTCACAGCACAGGCTCTTAGCACTGCTGTGTTACAGCCATGTTTTTGACTTTCAGTTGGAGAACAAACCATTCCCTAAAGATTGAAAATGCAGAACATGTACTGCAATTTTTAGACATCTGTTGTGCATTAATTGCAGGAGTGAAGAGCTGCTTGCAGAACCCTGGTGTTGCGTTAATAGTGTACAGTTGTGGGTTGTTTTCTCTGGATCAGCTGAGCTCAGGCTTGCCAACTTCTCTGAAAGCTGTAGCAGTGATCTCCTATACATGGTTCTTGGGTAGAATGTTCTCTGAAAGGTTTCCATGACCCCAGGAAGCAAACTCAGCTGAAACAAGCTAGAACAATGTGTTGAGAGGTAGTTGTTCAGTCCTCTTACCTCTATACCTCTGTTAAGGAAGACAGGAATATAATTCCTATTGGGGATTGAAAGGATTTAAAGGAAAGACAACTTTAAGATTATGTATATGGGGGTTTTTTCTTACTATTGAATTTATCATGGGCTTTTTTCAATACAGAAATTTAAAAAAAAAATCAAAGAAATTCTGTCTTTAGGCATGAAAGTCACCTGGGGACTAAAGGGGAACAAATATATTTAAATTCCTGCAATTATGCATGAAATAGTTTGCAGGACTAATTAGCAAAAAGCTGTGTGAAAACAGCTTGTGCCATACTCCACTGAAAAATCTTGCAAGGCTTTGATTACTTGCTAATTATTCAGAGTGTTAGGAAAGCTGATTAAGCAGCTCTTTTCAAATTCTACCATGAAAGCAAAATAAGTAGCCCAGCAATCCCTTTTGTTATATCAGTACCGGGTTTGTTGTCAGATCTGTTATGTGACCAATTCTTCTCTACAGAAGAATGTTCACAGCTGTGAACTGGCTTTCAGACCTGGTTTGTTCAGCTCCCTTACACTTCAGGGAGGAAGGGGTGAGGGTACTGCTGGGAAAAACAGGGTGGCAGGGAGAAAGCAGAAATAAGCAAAGTTATTCTATCTGTGCAGGTGTTCAAAAGTACTTGGAGAAAACACTTTTGGACTTTATTTTTCCTTTATGACACCATCCTCACCTATGGACTTCCACGTTGTAGCTGTGGTGTTGTTCAGTAAGCCAAGTGGTGGTAGATGAATAATTTAGGAACTTTGAATTGTAAAACTGCCTGAGGGTGGCTGCGTGCCAGGTACCTTGTACTTGCAGATGTTAGTACTGCTTTCTACAGTTCTCTAAATTACTAGAAGCTTTCTACTTATCTAGCAAACGCTGGTAAGCAAGGGAATATCTTCTTAGAGCTCATGTTTTCTTACCTCTGTTTCCCTTCCTCTGCCCTGTCAGCTCTGTACTTTGGCTTGCCAAGTGGAGTAGTATAATCAGACCCCTTTCCATTCAAATTGCTGCTTCTTGCATGGAAGCTCTTGCAAATCAGCACATCTGTGGGTGCTCTTGAGCCCTTGGGCCTAATCCCTGGCTACAGCTGTCTTCCTGTCTTTCAAATGGGTGCAGAAAGTCCTTCATCTGCTCTTACTCCTGTGGAAATGTGACGTTGGCTCTTTGGTTCATGAGGATAAATTTGGCCAGTGCTTGCTGTAGTAGGCACAGACTTTTCTTGGCTGTTTATGTTTATTCTACCATCAAGTGTGTGTATCTTTATTTCTGTAGAGATATGGCACGTGTCATCCCTATCGAAAATAATTATCCTTGCTGTCTGCACACTTTGTATCATCAATAAAGGCAAACTCCTCAAAGATTGAGGCAAATGATTGTCAAGCCTGTTAGTAAACACTGTCAAAGATCCAGCCTAAATCCTTCTTATCCTTTGTTTGCACACTAACCTATACTGGATAAGTAGGCTGCCTGGTACCAGAAGACTCCTTTGCACTGTCACTGCATTTCTCCTGGATGCAAGGAGACAAGTAGTCAGGAAAGCTGTCTTCAAGCTTTTCAATGTTCTTTTCTTCCTCCTAATAGCAAGCAGTGTTTGATTCCTGTCAACTCTGTAGTGTTTTACCCTGGGAGGAACACTTCCAGGAGAATAATAAACTAGAACAACAGTGTTACCCCTGAAGCTTTGGCAGGTGAACATGCTGAGAGGTAGAGGAGAATGGCAGCTCCCTATTGGTAAAGTTGAAGCCTTAACCTTGGGGAGAGAAGCAGCCTCGGGGTTCTGAGTTCTTGCTGGGTGCTGTGGCATTGGCAGCAGCCTTGTTCTCCGGTTCTTATCAGCAAAAAACCTTCACCCTCTGAAGGAAAACTGCAAGTGCTGTAATCCTCATGCCTTGTTTTGACTAAAATACCTCTTTGTAGTCACTGAAGGTTGAGGAGGAGCGTGATGGGCACTTTACTAAATAAAAGCTGCGTAAATGGTGAAGGAAGTGGTTTAGCCAAGGAAGCCAGTCTGTTCTTTTAAATAGTTCTGACTTCATACAGTTTCTATGGGCAGCAAACACTTCTACTCCACTTGTTAGTTTCTTCTTTGAGGCTCAGAGGACATGGAAGCTCCTTAAGCTGCTTAAATTTTTTTTTTTGTTACATATTTGCTCTATTTTCATCACATTGAGCAGTCTAGATGAGCTGATGCAGAAAAAGCTGCTTTCTTTGTATTTGTGTGAGGGGGTTGAACTCTGCAGACTTCTAGATGAGTTTTCTTGATCAGAATTCAACTTGCATTCCCTCCCATCAAGTAAAGGATAAAGGTTCAAACTAAGCTTGATTCTGTAAAGCATTCTTTAAATACCTCCAAACTGCTCAATAAAGCGAGGGGAAAAAATAATCTCTCACCTGTTGTAAGGCTGGCAGCAGTTCTCAGGGTGTCCTGACATGGACAAATTGTAGGCTGTGTTTTCTCACCATCAGTATCCAAGGTACTACAGCACATCAAAGGCCATGCAAGAGTTAATGTTTAAAGTGTTAATCTCCTCAGATGAAATGAAGTAATGCTCCAGAAATAAGCCTGTTGCTGAACTTCCACTTCAGATCTTTGAGGACCTGAATGCTGATGCTTGCTAATAAAAATAGCACAGTTTTTATGTGCTTTGTGTGAGCTGCTTATACAGCTGCTGCTTTCCTAAATTCCTGCATACTGAGCGATGTACATGCTCTAAAATTATAATCTACTGCCTGAGAACCACTCTACTTAATCAACAATCACATGTTGGAATTGTTTTAAATATTAAAATGCTAGGAGAAATATTTGTGGGAAACCTAGGAATTCTCTTGCTGTTGGGCACTGTTGTGTGCAGCCACCTATCGAGATGTGGGGCTGTGCTGCACAGTTGAAATGCAGATTTGGAGCTAAAACATTAGCATTTGTGAGCAGATTTATGTAACTGGCTGTGAATTCACTCAGCCAGTTAAGACTGAACTCTGTACTTTTGTGCCATGTAAGTCAGCTTCCATAATAAGTAACTTGCATCCCCAGGCCTGTTCTCCTGTCTGCCTTCTGTTGCAGAATCCTCTTATGGGAAGTTATATGGCTGGTTACTGGAAGACGTAACTGCTTCAAATATTTATCTTTACCCAGAGTCCCTGCTGTCTACTGCAACCAAATCAAAACAGGAAAATGAGTCAGTTAAAAGCCTTTGGGTCTGGAGGAAACTGGGAAAGTCATTTTTGTTTCACAGACATAAAAATATCCTTTCCTAGCACAATGCAACTTTGGATTTTATCAGTACCTGCTTCTCTGTGTTACTGTGGTACATTATCCTTCTCCTTGTGTGGAGGTCTTGGCAAGAAGTCTTCCTGAGTGCTGTTCACCACCCAGCTGGCTGCTCAGCTCCTATCACCATAACCCACTGTTGCAGAACAGTGAAAATGCTGCTTATAGACACTGTTTGTGCCTGGGCTCTTGTACATCTGTGAGCAGCTTCATTGGAACAGGATACTGAGGAATACATAGTGAGTCATCTCCGTACGGGCAAGTTTGCTGTGCTGGAGTATTTGCTACAATACGCTGCTGTTCAGAACCACTTTGGTTTATAGCAGACATAGAGGAGTTGAAGTCTTTGAACACTTTCTCTATTTCTGCTGATTATCAGTGCTGGAGGGAAGCCAACTGCTTTTGAGTGAAGGGCCCTTGTTTGAAAGACATGGTTAAATTTAGCAGTAGCGATAGTTTTAGCATAAAATCTGAAGGGCAATACTCAAATGCTCCTTAGACTGAATACTACTTAGCTGCTCAGTCTCCACGGTTGTGTTGCATCCTGTTGAGCTCGTTTTGTTAAGGTAAACCTCAAGAAGAATACTCTGAGTACACTCTCTTCTTGTCTGCAGGATGTTGTTTTGGAGGAGCATCTCTTTTCAGCTGTTTGCCGTGAGGAATGTTGGCTTTACTACAAAACAATCTGTGCTAGCTATTGCTATCAGCACTGGGGTTTTTTTCAGCTGGGTTGAGTATGGAAATGTCTCTGGAACTGTTTCTCACATGATAGGCTTAAATAAATTTTGTCTTATGTGACCTGTCCTTTCAGAGAGGTGAGAGTTTTTGCACAATTCCTGGCAAATCGTCTCCCTCACCAGTGTGGTACTGTGCACCTTCATGGCTGAAGAGTTCTTTCTATGCTTTCCTCTTTGAATGGTTTTAGTAAATGCAAACTGAAAGTCCACACAAACCTTGTATAAAAAGATGTCCAGTCCTTCTATCCTGTACAGTCTTGCACTATCAGGCTTAGTATTTGGTCTTGGAAATTCTTGTAGACTTTGTCTCACTGAAAGACATAGAAGTCACTTACAGGTAGATTTCCAAAATAGATTTATCCATTGCCAAAATGGAGGGCCAAAAGAAAGTGTGACAGATCATATGTCTGATTCTGCTATAGATAATAAGGATACCTTGTCCTTAACTGAGGACAGATTTTACCCAAATTCAGAGATAGAGAAGAATCACTGTAAAGGCTTTATCGGGTTTTACAGTAGTTAGATTGGCAGCTTGTCTTTGTCAAAAGTAACATTTTTAATAGCTGCTTGTTTGTGCATCAATCTGGTAAGGTAAATTTTAATCAGTCTTAGTTCTTCACTGATAATGCAAGATCTGTATGATCTAGGCAACTTCTTTCCCTCTCCCTGTTCAGTCTGGTGTTCAGTCTCCTGGAGCTTGGATACCTAAGGGATGTGTTTTGCCTCACAACAAGCCTGTTGCTTAAAGGTTGATGGACCTAAACGAAAATATCAGTGAGATAAGCTGCTGCTCGAACACTTGGATGGATTTCAGAGCTTAAACTGCTTTAAAATAAAATACAAACAGTAGAAATACACTTAGCATGCTTAAGTATTACTAAATAAGAGTAACAAAACTGCATCAGAGTACTATGCACATTACTCATGCTGAGTCTTGACCTTTAAATATTTATTTGAGAGTGCAGTTTCATGCAGAATGACTAACACAAGCCATCTTTGCTGCGGGCAGTGTGATGCTTAAGCAGCTGACTGGAGTTGGCATCATAAAAGATAAGCTGAGCATTTTACTTGGTCCATAGGATGCTCAAACACTTGTTCAGTCTGAAGGGAGCAACACAGAATGCTCCCTTGTCCGTAGGGTTTCACACAGTTTAAGCTTTGAGGGAGACATGGAAACTGTAGATATCATTTATCCATTATGGATACTCAAAGGGGATTCCTGCCTTAAATGAAGAATGTGTCAACAAAACTGCATGTGCTGTTTGCCCATAAAAGTAGCATAAAAGTTTGAGTTATTGCAGATTAATACTTAGGTAACCTCCAGTTGGGTTATTCAAAGTCAGGTTTGGGGGTGTCTTTCCCCAGAGAAACCATCTGTGAAGGCAGACTGGTAAGCAGTGCACTCTTGATAAGCAGTATGCTTGAAGCCTTTTGTCTTAATTTAAACTCTGGCAGTAGTGATGAGTCTTTGAAGACTTCTAATTTCCCTCTAACAACATCCTGTGGTATCTGCTGCTGCATCTCTTCCAATGGACGACTGTAACCTGTAGCTGGAAACTTGAACTGTAGATTAAACATGAGGAAAGGTTTTGTGCTTGCAGAGATCCTTGATTTTTGGCTTATATTTTCTTTCTGTCGAGATGGTAGCAGTAATGAGTGACAGCTGTATAGCTTAGCTACTGTAGCTGGAGAAATTGCTTTCCTGTTAACCCTATGGGGTAAGACTTTGGGATAGTCTTTGATTTGAAAAGCATGGAAGCAGAATTGCCAGGATTTTCCAATGCATATGCTTAACCCAAGATTGGAAACCATGAAACAATGTTGACGTCTGAGTCTCTTCTTAAAGAGCTACAAATTCTTATTATAGGTTGTGTTTGTCATCTCTGCTCAAAAGCTGCCAGCAAACCCCATCTGTAAAGGGCATCTGTGGAAAAAATACAAATGCAGTCAAGCACAGTGTAGTGTGGAGTACGGCTCCTGACCTGAACTGGTGGTAAGGGGAACAACTGGGGTGAAGCCACTGTTTTCCCTCGTGTTAGAAGAGCAGTGTATCTGGCATAATGGCTGTGTTCAAAGCCTCTTTGCTGAGCTATATGTGACTTGAGCAGAACCATCTGTGGTTCTTGTGCAGTCTGGTTCAGTTTGACTGCATTATTCCAGTGGATCCACTGACTGCTTTCCACCTCTACCAGCTATTTCAGCTTGTACAGTCCCCATCATTAGGAATCTGCACAGCTGCACGTGGTGCCCGGCAAGACTCAGTGCAGAGATGCTGGGCTGACAGAAGAAGGGTAATGCTACTGGCCTTGCGTGGATCCTTTGAAAAGCTTTATAGTTGAGTGATCAAATCTAAGGTGCACTGAGGGCCAATTTACAAGGTTGCTGCAAAAGCTGCCAGCTGATGCTCACCTTTATTGAAGTGGTAGCTGCTTGTACGGGAATCTATTTTGGGTTTCTTTGGGAAGTGCAGTTACAAAAGTTTGACTGAAACTACAGCGAGCTGCTGTGTTTCTTTGACTGTAAGAAATCTCCCTCATAGATAAGGGAAGAGAACAGGGAGAAGGAGCATACTGCCACTCTTGTCTTGCTAAACAAGCCTAATTAGTTCTTATATTATAGGAAGTCTTTTTAAGGAGTGTGTGGGGGAAGAGGGAGTTGCGGATATGACACATAAGAGCTGGTATGGGGAAGGTCCAGCTGTGTGAGTAGGCAGTGTCAGAGCACAAAGGTAAGGTTTCAGTCACATTCTAGTGGATTATGGGCTTAAGTAGTAAATTTGAGTCCTGAGATGCCTAGTTTTCTGTGGACAGGTAAGAACATGATCTCTGCTTCATGTGGTCCCAGGAAGTCAAAGGGAATAAATGCAGGAAGCCCTAAACACAACAGGGAGGGAGTTGCTAATCTCTCAGGATCCAGGGTGGTGTTAACAACTCTAAGCTGCTTCTGGATACCCTGCTCTGTGTAGCAGAGACCACAGTTTCTTAATTGGAAGCGTGTCCCCTGGGCCTGCTGTTCTAAACAATAAAACATTCATGCTTTCCTGTTCAGAGCTGATGGAACTGTCTCTTCCAAGGCATCAGCTCAGTCTCCTTTGCCGTGGCCAGGTGATTTGCCACATGGTGGTGGTGTAGGGCACAGTATGGTTCCTGCTACACCACTTGCTCCTCTGCTTGTATTAAAAAAAAACAAACAAACAAACAAAAACACAGATAACTAAGCCTTCAATGCTTTCCAGCTCATAGCTGTGTTTCTCACATACCTATTTTGAGGGCCAGTAAGCCAGGAAAAGACAATCTGCGTTGTCACCGAGCTTTAATATACCCTTGATAAACAAAAATAAGTGGTAGATTCACCCCTCTTATTGAAAGGGATTTATTATTCAACAAAGCTTGGCCAGTTCTGAATGGAGTCTCTTAAAACTGTCCCAAATTTACCTAATTCTGAGAGGCAAAATCAACCTGTCCTATGTTCTTTCCTTAACTTAGTAAAGCAGTTCTCTGTAAAATAGTCCCAACCAGCAAATCTTGGGGCTTTCAGTTTTCTAAAACTTACTGTGAATCCTGTAACTTCTGCTACTGCCTTGTGTGGGGAAGTGCTTACACAAGGTCATGTGGCTCAACCCAGCAGGCTTCAGCGTTTCAATTAAAACAGATTTACAACACTTTACAGTTCTAGAGGTCACTTTGGTTGGCTGGCAACATAGAGTCCCATCTCACCGAGGCACAAGGCCTCTCTGTATTTATGGAGAAGCATTTGTGCCTCTAACATCTCGATATAGAGGAATGTCAGGGTTTTGGCTGCTGCTGCTGCTATCAGTGTTGTTTTTTCAGCTTTGAGAGCATTTTGGTTTCTCCTCTTGTGTAAGGCTGCAAAGATCACTGCTGCCAGTTCAGTCATAGCAAAAACAATTCCATATCTGTTACTATATTTGGTAACTGGTGAGAGATTTGTTATGGGAGTGCTTATCTGTTCTTAAAGGATCATTAACACGGCAAGGGCAAGCAATTAAATTACTGCCTTTCAGGTACATTCCACCCCTGATCTGGGGAAAGAGTGGGCATATCCAGACTGCCCTTTATGGAAAAATGGGGAGAGTGAGATCACCACATCCGTATGGACTTCGCAAGTACCTCACGATGCCAGATGGAGCGACAGCCACGTTTGATCTCTTCGAGCCACGGTCTGAGCACTGCATTGGAGGTCAGTCAAACAGCTGCTGGCTGCTAACCTTGATTCTGTGCTCTGGGGGACGGATGAGGGTAGAGCCCACGACTCCCATTTGGCCTTGAGAAAAAGCAGATTTCTTTTTTAATTGTCGGTGTTGAGATCCTTGTGGTACAATGCTGCACTAGAGCAGTTACTGTTATCTTTGTAGCTGAAGAGAATCTGAACAATGCTTTTCTAATGAGGCAAAAATTCAGTGGTTAGAGCTGGTAATGTTGGCGCTTTGCACATGAGAGTGATAGCTCATTTGAAGAGCATATGCTAATCCTGACTCTAATTTACTGTGGTTACTTGAATTACAACAATTACTTTCTTCATTGATGAAATGATATCTTGTTAAAGTAGTGAGCAGTGTCAGCAGATCAAATATCATTAGATTAGCCACAAAGTAGATGATGGTTAATGTCAGCTGATCAGAATGTCTGTGCTTAGCAAAGCTGCATTTCAGAGATCTGTATTACACCCAGCTCTGGAAGGGAAATGAGGGGAAAATAGCATAACCAGTCTACTTGGTGCATGAATGAGCACTGGGCTCCACACCTTCCACGCACATTGCAGTCACAGCAGGCAGTCAGAAGGCAGAACATGTATAATGTCAAAAATGTCCATCAAAGGGAAGAATATGCTCTTGGTCTCTAGGCAGTGGCTGTAGAACTGTTTGCACAGCTTTCCCTGAAGTTAAAAGCCATTCATCTCCCATAACATGAATTACTTTTTCACATCTGTAGCGCTGGAGCTGCTGGTCTCCTGTCCTGGACGGGATTTTTGGCAGACTAGTAGGAATTTTAGCTTGCATGTGGTAGATGGTTTCCCACGGATCTGGAATGGAAACCTTCTGAGCCTCTTCATTTGCATGAAGTGACATTTACTCAACTTCCCCCTCTCTGTGCACAGAGGATGTCACGATGGTGATCTGCCCAGGGATCGCCAACCACAGTGAGAAGCAGTACATCCGCACCTTTGTCGACTATGCCCAAAAAAATGGGTACAGGTGTGCTGTCCTGAACCACTTGGGAGCCTTACCAAACATCGAGCTCACTTCTCCACGAATGTTCACGTACGGTAGGTATAGTCCCTGGGGGACTTGCTTTCAAGCTTATGGAATTTCTAGGCCTTGATCGGCCTCCTTCGGGATAACACAACTGCTGCACCTGAATGAGGGTAATAGTTCAGTGCTGTTTCCTAGGAACTAAACTGAGCTTACATGGGAGGAGGAGGAGAGGCTAATAATACTGAATTCACTTTTCCTTGGCTCTTCTGCCAGCTCTCACACATGTTCTAATCAAGGAGGCATATTTTTGAAAACTTCTGGGAAAGAACTCTCAGGTCTACCACAAGCCTGCTCAAATGATTTTAGAGATGCTGAAGTTGCCAGTTTGGTGGAATGTGAAACAAATGTGTCTGTGAAGGATTAAACGCTCCTTCTGAAGCTTTGTCAAATGTGACCCGAGAGGAGTTTGTACCAGTCCATCCAGAAAGTACATTTCTGTCCTAGGAGGATTAACCCTGCATGTAGCACAATGTGAAGAAACAGCAACAGTTCTAGAGTATGACAGTCAAGCTACAGAAGTGGTAGTGCTGAACTGCCATGATTTTGGGCTCTCACCTTGAGTAAGAATTCTTTCTTGAGCTAGAAATGAAAATAAATACTTGGAACAGTGTTAAGCGTGACTCATGCTAGTCTTAACTGCCCCCTTAATGAGTAGAATGTGGCCTTTTTGCCTGTGACCTAATCTGCTTGTCCCTGAGCTCTCCTGAGCCCTCGTGTCCCTCTTTACTGTAAATATCTGTAGGAACACTGTCGGGAGTCAATTGTGAGTTTACCAGACTTGTGCTAGGTTACAAGATGACTACAACAGATACTGCTTAGAGTTTGGATTAACAATTAGAAGAGTTATCTCGAGCAGTTAAATTGTCAAAATAGAAATATTGTGCTTTGAGATTGAGTCTGGCAGGCAAATAGGCTGTAATGCTTAGTTGCTTGTTTTAGAGTTATTAAATCTACTCCTCTTTAGAAAACACTTCAGGAATACCAAGTACCTTCATTTGTACTGAGGCCCTAGGCTGTTAATGGCTACAAGCCTACTGTATCTTGAAAACTAAGCTTGTCCTCATTAAAGCATTTGGTTTTTTGTTGTGGTGTGTTTTTTTTGTTTTGTTTTGTTTTTTTTTACAAAAGTTGAGAGCTTGCTTTAGGCCTTAGGGAGTTACTCTGTAGTGCATCACTTGAGGCCATACCTTTCTGAGTCTTTTATAACCTTGGAAAAGACAAGGAATGCCTAGCACTTCCTTTGAGAAAGGGAGTAAATCACTTAGCACAGTTCCTTGTTAAGTAAAAGTACCAGCAAGACCATAAGCAGGCTTTACTCTGCCTCCAACCCAAATAACACAGTGTCCTTCTAGCTTTGCTGTATTCCAGACATATTTGTTGAGGAGCAAGTAACCTAAATATGGGATTCGCTGAATCCTCCAGCCTAAATTTGGGATTCACTGAATCCCAGCCCCTACATCAAGGTTGACCTGTTGCTATTTTAGCTTTGGATTTCTGAGCTGCCCTGAAATCATGAAGGTCAAACACTAAAGTGTTTTGACTGCTGGCTTCTTCCAGAGGAAACCAGAGCAATGCAGCTTCTGTTGTCTTGAGGAAAATTGCTCATTAAGAATGTTCACAGGGGAGCGCCCAAGCCCTGCTGGATTGCTCAACCAGGAGCTTGCTGTTCCACTGAAACAAATACAAACCCTGGTGTTCAAAGTCTACTCCAGAGCTAGGTAAAGCCAGAGTCTGATGTCTAGCAAGGGTGCTACAGCTGGGTTGGTACAGGGTAGAATCCCCACTCTCAGGATTTATCCTGGACAAATTCCACAGGGTAGTGCTGAGTTTCTGACTCTAAACATGGGGATATCCATGTGTCCTTTAGAAAGCTGCAGTGTCTTTTACCTCTTTGGTGGTTGCAAAGGGCTATCTGTCCCTGCTGAAACCCTTCCTCATGATTCCAGAGAGCACCTTCTTAATCAGGCTCTGCAGGAGTCTGCTGAGAGCTTTTCCTGACAAGCCAGCTCTGCACTTCCATCCCCTTCCCAATCAGTAGGGATTTAGGGATCCATGACAGTCTTGCTAAAAGCAAAGGAGTGAATTGCCTTCCAGATAACCCACTTCAGAAGTGGTGAACTACCTCAGGAAGGTAATGAAGTAAGGTGTTCTTACATTGTAATGTCAAGCGTGGAGTTGCTGGACTGCATTTTTAGGCTGTTTTAGAAAGGAAGAGTTTCGATTGTCACGTCAGCTGCTGCCGTGATTTTTAAGCGCATAAATTTCATCTTACTTTGGCACTCTCTCAGAACTAAATATGAGCTAAGCTCCCCAGGACTCAAACAGATGTATGAACACATGTGTGAATCAGAGCTCTTAAAACCGTAAGGCTATTGAAAAGTCAGAAAGGGTAAGGAGCTGAACTCAAAGCGTGCAACTGAAACTTCAGGCGGGGAATTGAAGCATGTTAGAAGATAAATCTTTAACTTCGTCCTTCTTTTTTAGGTTGCACCTGGGAATTTGGTGCCATGGTGAATTACATCAAGAAGACCTACCCTCAGACCCAGCTGGTGGTTGTGGGCTTCAGCCTGGGTGGAAACATAGTGTGCAAATACCTGGGAGAGAGCCAGGCCAACCAGGAGCGAGTCCTGTGCTGTGTCAGCGTGTGCCAGGGGTACAGTGCACTGAGGTGGGTCTGGAGGCTTCTCCATGCTGGTCTCTTCTGGGAGTGCAGGTGGGGGCAGATCCTTGGCAGGGTACTTGTGGAAGGGCAAAGTGAAGGTGGTAGTTTTTCTCTTGTGTTGACTGGTCTGACAGACTGCAGTGTGCAGGATGCCACCCTCCTGAAGGATCAGCTTTATTGATTTGAAAGCCTTAAGCTTCTTGTCAGCAATGTGAACAGGTTTTCCGTACCTGGCCAGGTACACGCTGACAGCTTCTGGGCTGTGCTTGTGATGCTACAGTGTCCCTAGAGGAGGCATTCCCCATGCAAGTCCTGCTGTAATGAACCAGGCAGGCTGGGCACTGAGACCAGCTGCTGAGCTGATGCCAGTTTGCAAGCGATAGTTTACATTGTCTCATCACTCTGAAAAGTATCCCGTGGTTCATAGTAGTTCGTTTGGCTTCAGTGTTTAATTCCATCTGGCGGCTTTTATCTGGGGAGACTGGAAAGAGACACAGCACAGACTGTTCCATGCTGCCCTCTTAGTGTGTGTCACTGAAACAGTGCTGTTGGGCTGATGAGATGGAGAGGCACTTGAAACTGTTCTAGGAGTGGGTAGTTGGGGAGGAGAAGGCTTATAGCCCTGGAGTCTGCTCAAAATTTTAACATGTCTTCCCCACCATGGAAGCCAAGGCTGTGGCACTTCAGGAACTGTGGTGGCTCCACTTGCACACACTGATGGAGGCTCCAGGCACAGTGCTGCTGCTTGAAAACTGGTGCCTCAACTAATGTGCTTTGTACTCCATGTATGCACAATTAATGAAGCCAGTGTAACTGGCTAAGCAGCTGTTTTCAGTTTTTACTTTCTGTACACGTGTACAGCAACTGAGATGTATCTGACTTTACAGTAATTTAACTGCAGTTTTTGAGCCATGAGATTATTTATGAGGCAAGAGGGGCTATTGAGACTCATACTTGGTTCATGATCCTTTGGACTGATAAAAATGGTCAAAACTATGGCAGACCTGTGAGGGGCTTGCTATGGGATTTGGCCTCACAGCTCTGTCAAGGTGGCTGGAATTCTCGATGCTGCTGATGCTCTGCCTGTATTGGGACCATTTTGATATTCAGCAGTCTGAAGATGCCTTTTTGAATTAAAGTCTTACAGGTAAAAAAAAAAAAAGCTTTTCTGGAAACATTAAGATGTGATTAAAAGTTTAATATACATGTAATATTCCAGCATACCTAATCCCTTTTGAGGTCAGATGTGACTACTGCTAAAATACATATAATCTGCTGCTAGTTCACACCCTTAAAATCTGAACAGATGCTGCAGGAACAGCTGTTCTGTTTTGTTTCAAGTAAAATGTTCTTAGCTGTCCTGGGGTTCTGGCATAGAGTACACAGCATCCTTTTGAAGCCATCTCCTTAATTGCAGCCATCAGGCAGGGTTTGCAGGAATAACATCTGGCTGAGGTCCACTTGGTTCATCTTGTGCAATTACACAATATTGTATTTCTGGTCTCCAAAAGGATGTTGAGAGTAATGCTATTATGCTTGCAGGGCAAGGACAACCTGATTAACAATACTCCACTTGGATATTTGTGTGGAAAAACAACTGGGTGGGTTTTTTTCCTGAGTTTAATGCAAGTATTGGGTGGGTTGTGTGTATTGCTGAGCTCTTGCCTCCACCTGCTGGGTAAACATTTCCTAGCAAACCTCCTGTCACAAAACATCTGCTCTCTATTACTGGTCAGCCAGCAGGAAGGCTTTTCAGGTCTTGTCTCCCTACCTAATATCTGCTGCTGCTTTGAGTGCTAATTTGCTGAAGAATTAGGGGAAAGCAACATCTACTGAGCAAACCACAGGAGAGGGAAGGCCTTGTGCCCTGGTTATAGAAGTGGGAGGGAAGGAGGTGGTAAAAAGCACCTTCATGTAAATGGTTAAGCCTTACCCTTCCTGGGCTTGGTCTGGTAGCTTAAAATAGCTGCCTTCAGCCTTCTGGGCTGCATGGAAGTGGATTACCCTGGTAGACATGACCAGTTAGTTTAAAATTCCATTTTTTTAATATTGATTTGTCCAGCCTCTATCCCCCAAATAACCTCTTAGGAAGTGAAGGAAAAAAGTGGTGGTGAGCAAGGGGTCTCAAATAGGAAAGCCTTTCCAGAGCAAGAGCAATACTAGGATTTGCCAGAAGAATGAGACTCTTAGTTGTAATGAATTAACAGAGTCAGGGGAATGTGTTCCCCGAGGCTAAATAGGGACAGGTCTCCTTATTCCTTAATCTCTGCCTGCACAGGCTTGATTCTGCTTCTTGATCTTGTGGAATGCAACATCTCCATAGCTACAGGCTGTGGGGAGAGACCTCAGCTTTAAAACCTGGGCACTCCTCAAAATGCAGGAAAGCTGCCTGTGGTTTTTTTCAATGCTGACAGCTCTTCATATTGGGAATACTGCTGTACACCACAAGAACTGCAGGGAAATGTAGTAGCTTTAACTTCAGATGTCTTGTAATAACTTAACAGGTTTGGAAAATGTTTTGTGAAGAAAGAAATGTGCATTGTCCTGTCTTCCTTCGTTCCCCTGCCCTGGCAGAAATGTGGTAGTTACAGTCTTGCTAGACAAAAAGATATGGAAGGTTGGGTGGGCTTTTTTTTTTAAAAGAAATTCTGTACTCTGGCATTACTTACTACAAGAAAACAGCTTGCTCTTGCTCTGGTAGGGGATTTGCTGGTTATGGCTTGGGAGGTCGTGCTAAATCTGCTGCAGTTCTTGTAGTATGTTAATGTTTAAGTGGTGAAGTGCTTCAGTAGCTGAAACTGCTCCCATCATTCTTCAGTCACTGGGTAAATGATAGTGTGTTTCCTCAGTAACAGCAAACCCTGTGAAGAGCAAAGCTCTAACCTGCCCATGACCCTGCATAGCAAGGGAGTGCTGGTATCTGGCAGAGCTCACAGAACTCTGGATGGCTTTAATTCTGTTTTAACAACAGATAAGCTGTGAAGTGCTATTCTGCTTTGACAAAAGGTAAAGACAATTCAGATGATACTTGCAGCTGCAACTAGTATTTATTCTTACAGTTCCTGCCAATGAAGCTGTGTCTGTGCATATTGGAAACATCTGCACAAATTATTTCCTCTGCAGAGCTATGTACACAATAGGCAACACTGTTCAGCAATGGGTTTTGGCCCTTTCCTTGGTAGTCCCATTATGTAAATTACATTCAACTTCTGCAAAGGGATACTTTGTCAGTGTTTTGGATCTTGATTGATGGCTCTTAAATGCCGTGATCAAAACTTCTAATTTTGTTGTGCAAGATGAGACTGCAGATCTGTTTTCTGATAATAATAAACTTCATCAAAGTGGATTTCCTGGAAAAGGTTAAGCCGTGGCAGGGAAGGCCTGGAGGTTTGTTTACATAGCTTCCAAGCTGCCATAAGATGTTAACAGTGTATTAATCTGATCTTTCAAGATCTCCATTAACAGCTTTGTTTGTTCTGCACTGTGGTTTGTTTTTTTTTTTTTCTAGGGCACAGGAAACCTTCATGCAGTGGGATCACTGTAGAAGATTTTATAACTTCCTCATGGCAGACAACATGAAAAAGATCATCCTTTCTCACAGGTGCTGCAGTACATCACTTACACTGATGGTATTGATTGGGTCAATTGCTATACTGGATTTGTCTTCCCAGTCCTTTAAGTAGGACTCCTGGAAGTTCTTTGGTTGATCTTTAGATGAACCAACAGAAAAGGGGAGCCGGTGTCAACCTCATCAGTATACTGTAAAATATACAAATAAGCTTTGGTCCTTTTGTAGGAAGAAAGACCTTGTTGTCTTTTTGTTTTCTATGAAAACTTGCTCAATGAATAAACAAGGCATGCACAGGAAAACATTGCAATTAGACTTCAAAGTCGAGTATTCTGCATCTGTTTCACTTCTAGCCAAAGAATTCCCTATTCAAGGAGCCTCTTGTTCTGCCACCTACCTGAGGTAGGACTAATCTTCAAGATCTACTGTATGGAGTTGCTGCTTATCAAATAAGCAAATAGTCAAACCTGTAGCTCTGGCTTCTAGCTGTTCCTCTAGAAAGAACCTGTAGCCAGCAAAATACTTAATGTTGCTGTTCCTGGAGTGCAAGTGCTGCTGTTGCAATCCCATGTCTCCCCATAACAAAGGAATGTGTGTACTAAACAGATGACATACTCAATGTTGTTTTTCCTCACTAAAAGTTCTCTGGGTGGTACTTTCTAGGGCAAGAAAGTACCTCATCCATGCCTGACTGAAGAGAAAAGGAGAGGAATATCTAAGGTCTACTGAATTAAGAACATGTGTCACTTCAAATTTTTGATTCTCTGTTTACACTCCTGTGCAGTATGAAACACTTGTAGAAGTTAGGGCAGCTGATGTAGGATGATCCATATAATTCATTCCAGATTTACAAATATTTGGACAACTTGACCAAATTTAACATCTGAAGTTAGGTAAGCTCCCATTAAAAGGTACTTAAATTTGTAACCCAGAAAAAGCCAGCACTGGCCTGAAGGCAAGTATGTTAAGTAAACTTTTTCCATAATCACTTGTGCTCTTAGGCAGCTCCCCCAAATCAAACCTAGCTCTGCCTTGCAGCTGCCTCTGAAAGGGAAAAAAAAATCCATTTCCAACTTTTGGCTTTTTTTCCTGTTTGTTTGGGGAGAAGTTTGTTCTGGTAAAGAAACATTCTGTCCTGGGGGCAATAATTGGTTATGACAAGTGTCCATAGTAAATAGCTTTCTGCTAAGGTAATGCCCCAAGTAATTTCTGTTGTGTGAGCTAGGCTGATGTCTGTGCTGGGGGGATTTAGGACCAGATGGTGGAGGAGATGCTATGCTCAGGACTGCTAGTGCTCTCACCCAAACCACCCACAAGCTTGGTCTGAAGCCAAAGAACCCTCCCTCTAATAAACAGTTCTGTTCCAAATACCCTTAGTGCTCTCTGTTCCGGGATGATTCTTTTTAGAGGCCCCCCTCATGCAGTTTTTCAGTATATCAGAACAACATTTTTTCTCTAAGGAAGCTGCTGGGGCTTCTGTTACATCTTACTGCAGAGGCAAGTGGACAAATAACGCTCTTCTTGTTCCCAAGAAAGCCTCATGTATATGTAGCCCACTTCTAGCCTTGTCAGATTTCGTAGACTCACTTGTCCTTGAAACAGGTCCTGCTGCCCTCTTGTTACTTGGTTGTAATTCTTGATGTTACTCTTTCAGGCAAGTTCTTTTTGGAGATAACATGAAGAAGCTACATAGCCTGTCAGATGCTGATCTGAGCAAGCTCTATACAGCAACATCCCTTATGCAGATTGATGACAACGTGATGAGGTATGAAGGACGGTTCTCTGCTCCTCTATAGAACTCTGAAAGTACCTCCTCTTTTCAGTGTTGCTCTTGCATGCCCCTTGCTGTGCCTGTAGGAATGTGCTGAAATACAGTGAACACAATGTCAAATTCTTACCTACCTCCATACTGAAGAAAACTTAGCAGAAAATCAACTTACTCTTGACAGTCACAGCTTTTTTAAAATAATCCAGGAGGTGTTTATCAGTTACACCTGAACCTGCAGCCTTCAATAATGTAGGAAGAGGCCAGCTCTGCTGCTGAGCTCTAGCAAAAAAAAAAAAAAAGTGGAATGTGGAAAGCATCTCAGAGCTGCTCATGGATTTCCTTAGCTCTGTTTGAATCTTGAAAAGAACCTTCTCCCCAAAACACACTGCTGCCTTCTCAATACTTACAAGGGTTGGCTGAGATAATACAACTTAGTTGTCATACTAACACCTAAATTAAGTTCTCTGCTTTATCACGCAGTAGCCTGTTATTCCCTGTGTCCTTAACAACACCACAGCAGTGGTGGCAGTGTCCATACCACGGCATGTTCCGTATCAGGCAATGACACCTTTCCAAAATGAAGCTGTAAACTTTTATATATAGATGTCAGCTATAATGTTTTTGGCAAACTTGGAGTATCGTTGGCCGCTTATAAAAAAAAAAAAAGACCATTCCCCTGAGGGAAATATCCCAGCTTGTTTGGCCCAACATACCAGCTATGTTGCCTCTTAGGTAAAAACAAGGCACTTGAGTATAGGTTTACTGAATTCTGAGGGCCTTGTCAAGTATGTTTGAGCTTCATAAGCTGTGGTGGGATTGTTTTTGAAAAAGCTTTCAGGAAACGATGAGCAAGATCATAACTTTTTCTTTCTTCTACATGTACAGTTAAGTGAAGTGGGATACTCTAAAAGAAATGCCCTGAAGGCTGCTAGTTTTCAACTTGCATTTTTAACTTGCCCGTGCTCTCACCACGTTTGAGTAAGCACAGAAAGCATAAAGGCATATAATGCCAAAGGTGGGTTTTGCAAAGACACTGAGTATTAAAAAGTTCTCTGAAAATTGAGGCATCGTTCTTGTTTCTGCATGTATGTCCTCACTTGAAAACTAACAGTCACATGGGTACTAGAAGCAGATGATTGCAGTGACAATCTGCTCTGTTTCAGGAAGTTCCATGGCTACAGCTCACTGAAGGAATACTATGAAAAGGAAAGTTGCCTGCAGTACTTACACGCGGTAAGCTCTTGCAACAGACTGCTCTTGTACCTTCATTTTCCTGCTGGAAAGAAAATACACAGCTGTCTTAACTGGGATCTTCAGAAATAATCAGGCACAGTATATTGGACTGGGATTTCAGTTCTTGCTACCTCTAATACTGGGGGTAAATGCTCTGGGCTCTAACCAGGTTATAATTCTGGCAGGTAGTAGCACCCAAGGGATCTGGATAGAAGCTGTGTGTTCAGCTGAGCTGCTCCAAGTGCATCAGGATAAGGTGGGAAATGGGTGGTGGCATAGAGCCTGCAGTTTCAAGGAAGAAAGAATTTACTGGATACTGTGGAAGAGACTCAGGACACTATCTGGCAGGCAGATGCTTAGTAGAGCAGAGTTTTGCAGAAGTGGAACTGAGATTAAGTCCTCCTTTTTCTACTGAACCAAAGGATGAAGATGTTCCAAGGGAGTTTCCTGGACTTTAACCAAGGTGTCCATAACAGAGCTGGCACTAGCTGCCTGATGTGCAAAGCAGAGCAAAAAAAAAAGGGTGTAGCTATTTGGATTCTGAGAATGGGAACTTGATCTGTGTTTGCTCTGATACACCCCAGTCTCTTTCTTGCAGTGGAATTGGGGAGGGAGAAAAATAAATTAACTCTGAAATAGGAGGTATTAATTGAATTAAATGAAGATACTTTTACAGTTGGTAGATTGACATTCAAATACTAACTCTTTACTTTTGGGTTTTTTTCCTTTTGTGCCATGTTTCTTGATGCAGATCTATGTTCCTCTTCTGCTGGTTAATGCTGCTGATGACCCTCTTGTCCATGAGAGCCTCCTATCAATTCCAAGAGCTCTTTCAGGTATGCTGAAGCAATCTCCTCCAGCTGTGCATATTTGTGCACCTGCAACTTGCTTATCACATCGTGATTCACCATCTCAAAGTGTCTGGACTTCCTCCTTATCTCTGTAATGCTGTGGGAGGTGTGCTAAGCCTCTTTAAATCACCAGTTGCTAGAACTGGCATGGCTAACTTTGAGCAGGGAAGAACTTTAGTCCACTCTGCTCTTTTGGCTTGTGTTGATAGCAGGTGACATCCAGGTTGTATTCTTGGATGGAAAAAATGATTCCTCATGTCTTCATTCCTCACTGGGATTTAACAGAAAGGTGGGTGATAGAGGCAGTCTGGAAGAAGCACAGATAAACACCCCACTTTGATGGTGGAAGAAGGAGAGTGTGTGAATGGCCGTGTCACTTGGCAGTGGACTGACATCTCTCCCTTGGAAGGAGTTGAGCTATCTTCAGACAAGAAAAAAGGAAAATTATCAGTATTAGCTCAGAAGGGGGAGCTGCTGCTGCTTCATCATACAAATAGTGGGTGCACAGGGAAGGAGGCAGGGTCCGTTCTTTTCCTGGTTGAAGGCTGTGAGCAGAGGATTTATCCACAGGAGCAAGCACAGGTTTGGTTTTTTTCAATATCCATGAAACAAGACGGCTGATTCCTCGTCAGAACTTAGTGCAGCTTGACATGATGCAATAGCCCTAGTTCCAGTGGCTGCAAGTTAAAGGTGTTCATTTGTTGAAGGAGGTGCATTCTCAGAGCAGTACAGCTACTGCTGTAAGGGCCTGGCCAGCAGCATTTCTTGGGCAGCCTTGTGCTGCCAGCTTAGGATGGTTTCATTCTCAGCTCAAAGATGTTAACCTTCTGGAACTCTCTGTCTCCTCTTGTTTTACAGAGAAAAAAGAAAATGTCATGCATGTGCTGCCCCTTCATGGAGGCCACCTGGGATTCTTTGAGGGGTCTGTACTGTTCCCAGAACCTCTTACCTGGATGGATAAGCTCGTGGTACAGTATGCCAATGCCATCTGCCAGTGGGAGAAGACAAAGCCTCACTGCTCGGATGCAGAGCAGGCCATGTCTTCCCAGGAGTAATTGACCCAAAGACTCTGGATCACTTCAATATATATCTCCCCCTATGGGAACATCTTGTTCCCTCACCTGCTGCTTCAGGTTTCCATTCTCCTTGATATCCTGTGGCTGGGGTTTGATCACAATGTTTTCTTCCAAAGTGGAGTTAAAGCAGAGGTTAACATCTGGTCTGGGCATTTTGGGGTGTATAGTCACTTGGGTTTATAACTTACTCCTCTGCTTGAGGAATTAGGTTGCTGACTGTGGCTTGTTACAGGGCAACTGAGCTAAAGATTGCTTGCTTTAATATAACAGAAGTTTCAAATATCAAAATCTCTTTACCTGATGGTCAGAAACTTGATCTGCAGCATTTGTTTAAGTGTAAATGACCAGGTAATGATCACTCTGCCCCCTGTTCTGGTGCTGGAAAATACCTGTACCAAGCCACAAGCCAGTAAATGTTCAGTCTGTAAGCCACTACACTGTGGCTTGGAAAAACAGATGCTTGACTGCAAGTGGAGTTTCAGCTTTGCACCATCTCAAGGGAAACCTTGTAGTTCCTAGGAATGCACTTGCACAAGTGAATCACTTTAAAAAATATTCAATTTTCTATGCTTCAGCTGTCTGTGGTTTGGGGTGGCTTTATACTGGGACTCCAAGTAGGGAAGAGCTGCAGCCTGGTAATGCCAGTTAATGTTTCTATGTGTAAACATTTTCTCACTTCAGTTACCTTGTCATTTTTTGCCTCTCTTTAAATGCAGTCATCTTTTCAGTACTGGATTCTTTGTTTGACCCAGGGCTGGCTCTGGCTTCCAAATGGAAACCCATGATCAAGAATCTGCAGGATTTTTCCATGAGATTGATCTGTTTGAAAGAACATTTCATGGAGAGCTATGTACTCTTATGGATTAATTGCTGGGGGGGGGGGGATGTATCTCTTTAGATTTATTCACCTTATGTCATGGCAAATAATATCAAAATTCTTCCCCTTAACTTTCAGAGCATCAAGTGGTTTTCAGACATGACTTGCCTTACAGTTGATGGGGAGCAGGATGTGTCTAGCTCTGTGCAACTGAAATGACATCTTTGCATTAGTGGCTCCCGTAAGACACTGGGCTCTGTCTTACTTGAATTTCTTTTCCACACTGAGACATCCCCTTCTAGTTTTAATGTCCAAAGTGAGGTGTGAAAGTTGGTTGCAGGAAAGATGCCTACTCACTTGTGCTTTTCCTTCAAGTGGCTGTTGTGGCCTGTGCCAAGATGGTTATTAAAGAGTCTAGTCTATCTCCTGGAGGGAAAGTTGTCCCAAGACAATCTGGAGACTGAAACTTTGTGGTAAAAGAATCTTTTTTACTGTTTGCTCTGTCAATATTGTAGTTTCATTAATCCATCTTTAGGACTTCTTTATCATGGTGTCAGTGAAATTCTTTTCCTTTCACACTTCCCACATCAGCACTTTATTGCTTCAGCCTTGGTCTGTGTTCCAGGCACTTTAATTTATAGCTTAAGGGTGAAACAAGCAGCAAGACTTCAGACTGGTAATACAGGGGAACAAGCCTTCTGGACTGCCCTGTCCCTGAACTTCAGGAGAGCAGAGAGAGGTGGGGTTTTGGTTTAATAAAGCAATAATTAACTATTGTAGCAAAGGTGCATCGTCCTATCAGGAAATTTTTCATTTGCCTTAGGCCAGACACCTTGGCCTGTTACAATGAACTGTGGATATCTGCACATTCTCCTTGTTAGTAAATCCAGGTTTTCTTTTTTTTCTTCAAAGAAAAATGAAACCAAGTAAAGCTATAGCAAGACTTGGCTGTGCTTGTGGCTGTTCCTTAAGAACTATTTTAGGGCATCAGTTAGCAAGGATATTCTTAGCTGATGGATATCTTGTCTCTGTGTTATCCTCTTATTCATACTGCATCACTAAAATATGTCATAAAAGACATTTCAGTTTTTTGCTTAAGTAGTGTTCATGCAATATTCATTGGTTGTGACTTAAATATCTTCTCGCTTCAGCAAAATGGAGTGTAAACAACACTTGTACACATCAAATAGATACAGTATAAATTTAGGTGTCTCAGTCTCCTAAAATGAGGTGAGCAACCAGGAAATTCTCAAAGCAGCAGGAGCTGACTTTGTATAATCACACAGATTTTACTTTCAAGTTAGAAGGTCTTCCTGATGAATACTCCTTCCTGCCCCACAATCCAAGCCTTCATACTTCAGAAGTGCCAGTGCTGTGGATTCCCTGAAGCTCTCAAGAAGTAATATGGGTCTCTGTCTTGCTCCTTTGCCCTGTTTTTGCACTTGCATCTAAAAGTGTTCAAATTGCTTGTGACTTGACTGATTCTGGCCTCTTTGGGGAAGAAGAGCTTTTGTCACGACTTGTTCATGCAATGGTTTCTGGAGCCTGAATGGTGGTCTTTACTTGCCCAGTGAACCCAAACTTAAATGCAATCTGAATTTTTCAGTCTTAAAGGTGAGGTCTTTCATCTCTCTTCAAGACACATGAAGCTGCTGTCGTGTGTACCTGTAGGTCACTGCAGTATGGTCTGATAGAGCAGTTCAAGATCACAGCATGACAAATTTGATATCTGCTCTGCTTAGTTTCAAACTGGGATTAGAAAAAGCAGTAGGAGAGTTTTCCCACAGGTAGTCTCATGGTATGCACACCTTTCCCATCACTGGACGTAAGTAGCACTTGAACATAAACCCCAAGGACCTTCTTCATCAGTCAGCAGGTTGCAGAATTACTACTCTTTGATGGTTAGGCTGGTCCAACCATCACCTTTGCCATTTTTCTGGAGAGATCTGAAGATGGTGGGTAAGAAGCTCAAGCTTGCTCTTACTGAAACACCTTTTTTGGTGGTACCTTTGTTAGCTTCTAAATGGGCGTGTTTTCAGATGGGACTGGTATTGTTGTAGTTGCACTGTAAAGGAAAACACTTAAACTTCCCTATGATCTTCTTCCTGAGTGTTTTTCTGCAGTTCCTGCTTGTGAAGATACAGATTACAAAGAGAGGGCATTTAGTAAAAATATTGGGAACTATTAACTCCAGTACTGAACTTAGCCAAGCTACCTGTGTGTCATCTGTCCTGGGTCTGCCGCAAGTTCCTGGACCACAGCCCTTTGACATGTGGTGCCTTGCCCTTTTTCTCCTCCTCCCTTCACATCAGCTTATCTAGAGACTTCAGTAACAGCTCTGTCAGAGCTTTTAGGGCTTTGCTTTTTGGTAAGTGAATTTTTAGATACCAGGTATCAAGGCACATCCTTGATGTACACTGTACAAGTGTGTGCTGACTTAAAGGACCTTTGTGGCCAGCCTACAACAGTCTATTTCAAGGCATAAAATAACAATGTATATAAGCAGTGGATCATTTGTAGCTCCCTGCTCCTCCAGCAGTTGGAACTGAGTCACAGAAGCAAGGTTTGCTTTGCTTAGTGTGTGATTTGTTGTCTTACAGTCCCAAAGCTCCTGTGTCTATTAACACTCCAGCAGCATAGCTGGAGGTAGATTAAGTGACTACATCTGAAAAGAAAGAGCAGAGAAGAGTAACATCTTCAGGATTTAATTACCAAACAGTTTAGTCACTTGGATTGCTTCCAATTTTTTCTGGAAATACTATGCCTGTCTGGAGCTTATTGAAATTCTTTTTTTTTTGAGACCACAGAAGGCCTGAGCCTTCTGCTGCACATAGAAGTCATTTGTTGTAAAGAGCATCTTGTTTCTGGCTTTAGCCATACTCCTTGTGTCCTTACTCCTTAGGTGGGTCTGTTCATTGGGAAGGTTCTGGAGTCACAGTGACTCAAAGCAGTGTCTCCTTCGTGGCTTCTAGGTGAAAAGCAAAAGCAGCCCTTCTTGTTGTGAGGACTTTGAGTTTTCTCCAAGCTTAGAATGCCTCAGAGCAGAACCAGCCCAAGGTGGGGGAGCCCTGTAAATGTATCCTCTTCTCACTGGGAGTGGGCTTGACACAGGCCTGGACTTGGTCAGCTTTCTATGCTGTGGTGTGGAGGGGTTTTTAGAGTTCTCCTGAACATCTGTACAAGGTGGCACAAAGCCTTTTTGTGCCTTGTCTGAATGACAAGGTTGCATTGTAGTCAAAGCTCTTTTGTGACTAGAGATGAGATACAGAACTTTCTTCTAGGATCTCCACTATAGTTCTACTGGGATGTTGACCTTTCTTCTGCCAACTCAGAAGTCTTTAAAAGAAACAAAAAGCCAAACAAAACCCATGCATATTTAAAACAACCAAACCCTACTGCTTAGCCCAAGTCAACAGCTTTCCAAAGGAGCATATTTTCTCATTGTGTTACATGGCAGCTTGACCATAATTCCTAGTGACAGATCACTAGATGTTCTTCTTGAGAAAGAATAACCTCTTTTCCCTGAAATTTCCAAGCCAAAGAGGTGTGTGACGAGCTTGGGAAGAGGAGACCTGTGCTCTTGTTTAGCTTGTGCAGCTGTGTTAGAACAGGCAAAATGACTTCTAATGTTCTTGGTGAGCAGTTGACTACGAAAACATTTTCAATTTGGCAAAATTATATTCTGCAACCATCTTTAAATGCTGCCGTGAAGAAACTTGTATATTGAGACACCCTCCCTGCTACCATGTTCTGAGTCAGATTCTCTGGAGCTGAGAGCTGCAGGGGAGATGATTTGCAACTAGCAATGCAATTTTTCTATATCTGCTGATGTTTACCTTTAAAATTATATATAAATATATATAAAACAATGTCTTTGATTTTTTTCATTAATTTTTGTTCTTGTGTGGTGTGAAATGGAAGTCACTGCAAAACAAAATGTAATTTTGTTATCTTTGATTTGGTGGGATTTCTTTATTTAAAAATAAAGGACTTACTGAAGTCAGTGGTACATCTAGTGACTGTGTGCAAAGTTATATATGTTGGCAGAGGCTCTCGGTCTTCCCCGAGGCCCAGTGTGGGGAGCTGGCTGGGTGGGGCGTGACTTTATCTTCTCCCCCTTTCTCTCTTGCAGCACATAATGCAAGCACTAGTGCTGCTCAAGCCTTTCCCAGTTGCTTTTTGTCTTTTGGACAAGAAGGGATCTTTAATGCCATTCTGGGGAGAACGGGCATGGCATCAGCTTAAACTGCATGCCTGCCCTGAAAATAGTGAAGAAGGGTTATTTTTGCCAGTGGAGAACATCTGTTATTTTACCCTGCGTGACAGGGAGTGGATTTCCTAATCTTTCAGCTGCTGGTGGGGAAAAACACACAACAGCAACTCTGGCCAGGACAGTGACATCTTTGAGCCCAGAGCATACAAAAGCACTACTCACCTCACACTTAGGAGCTCACTGATGTGTGGTTCATTATCTACAGACCAGGTGAGATAAAAGTGGAGGGTAACTGGGACCTGTGAGTCCTTGGGGCAGCAGGGTTGGGACAAGACTGTTGCTGCTCTTCCCCTGTAGTGGGAATTACTTTGTGGGAGATGTTTTGGGCTTCATCTCTAGCTTACTGGACATTGAGATTTAGCTGTTAGTTCTACTTTAAACCTGCTTCCTGGCTCAGTCAGAGTCACTGCTCCCTGCTCTGTTTGCTGTGCTGTTCTGTCTCCCTATCAAAGCAAGTTACTGGCTGATAATCTGTCCCAGCAGTGGTGAGTAGCCACAGGGACCTCACAAAATCTGTCACTGTCCAAGTCCCAGAGGCAGCAGTGTGGTGCTTCTGTCTGTATGTGTCGGTTTTGTTGGTTTGTGGTTTTTTGGTTTTTTGTTTTTTTTTTCCTGTTTTCACAAGCTGCAATTGCTCTGACTCCCAGGCAAGCTGTGCTGTTGTGTTTGCACTGGCCTGATGGTTGCAGAGTTGTCACACGTGGTTTCCTTGGGATGGCTCCAGATGCAATAAGGAGCCAAATACAGCCATGAGGTGCTTTTTGCTCTCCCTCTGGCCTCTCATACAAGGTTGGCACAGCCTCAGGCTGAGACTTGCCATGCATGGCCTCACCATCACTGTGCTGCTGGAGCAAAGACAGATTTAACCCCAGTGGCTTCTGCCCAGACAGGCCCCCTCCTCCCTGTGGCTTCGGAGCCCACGTCCTGTTTGGTTTGAGCCTGAGCCAGTGCCCTGATGAATGTGGCTCTTGTCAGTGCCCTCCCCCTCGGCCAGCTTTGGTGGGGAGGGCTGCTCTGGCTGATGAAAGATGGAGATGGGAGGGGGGACAGAGCACAGGGCAGGACCAGGCTGAGGGAGAAGGTAACCTGGGCAGAGACCAGCAACTTGCTCCTCTCCCAAGCCCTACTGCTGACCAAGGGAGATGGCCTAGAAACAGGTATCTGATCAGCTCCTTGGAGGAGGTGCCTGGTTCATGAGCCAGAACAGACTACCTTGCCTGGGACAGCTACTTCTACCTCCCTCCTCCCCACCCAGGTTCTGCTGTAACATCAGGCACAGCTTGTTTAGTGGGCAGGGACCCTCCTCTGCCCTCCACCCTGGCTTTTGGGGGGGCTTCTCTGACTAAGCTCCCTCTCAGAATGCAGTGCTAGGAGAAACAGCTCTTGAAGGATTTAGGAGGGTACCTTCTGCTTGTCTCTCACTGTTCTGTCGTTGAAATCCATCTCCTAGTCTCTAGCTGCTGCAGCCTCCATTCCTCCTCCCTGCTTGCCTGGTGGAGTAGGAATTAGGCACAGCCCGCTCTGCCTGGGTCCCTGGTTTTGTTTTTCTTTGCATCTTTTGGGCTGTTTACTCCTTCCTGGTTAGAGCAGGTGACTAAGAATTGGGGGTCCTTGCTCAGGCAGGGGTGGGACTTGATCTGGGATGCAGGGAGAATGGAGACAGACAGCTCCTTGATCCTTGTGCCAAAGGGTAGTCAATGACGAGGGACAGGGGTCTCCAACAAAACGCTGACGCTCCTGGCCTCCTCAAAACCACCACCACAACCAGTGCCCAAAAAGCTGTGCCCGTGTTCCTTACCACGAGGGACCCCAGAACTCTGTTTTTAAACACTTTATTTCTCCCTCGCTGTAGCCCTCCCTTCCCAGAGCAGACACTCTCCTGTCCTCCCCCCACAGCTCCAGGGAATGCTGTGGGAGGGGGCTGGTGGCCTTCTTTCTCTTCTGGCTTCCACAGGAAGGGTGCTCTGCCCACGAGGGACAGAGCTGCTGGGCAGCCCCGCTGCCTGGAGCAGGGAGGGGAGGGACAGGCGTGGAGCAACGCGCCCAGAGCGCCTCATCATGAGCAGTCACTCGACCAATGCTACAGAAAGGAGGTGGCTGGGGTTAGAGGGCCACCTCTGCTGCTACTGTACAGGGCAGGGGGAGCAGGCCCCTGCTCTAGAGAGCTGTGTCTTCAGACTCGATGCGGGGCCCAAAGAGCTTCTCTGCAGTTGCTTTGCCGTCGTACTTGGGCAGGTTGCCACCAAAGTCTGCCGGCAAGATGTCAGCATCAATCTCCTGGTAGAAGGACTCCAGCTCCTCCCCGTGCACAAAGACCTGGAGGAAGATGGAAGTGACCCTCAGCAGAGGACTGGAGCCATTCTTCCCAACCACTCTGTTTCACCCAGGGATGTGCCTTTGCCTCCAAGTCCCTTTCCCACACTCACCCTCTCCAGCAGTTTGCTCTTCAGGAATGGTTTGACCACGTTGTAGGTGGTGGTGAAATACCAAGGCTGGTGGATGAAGTGGACGGCCTTGAACCGTGCTGGGAAGGAGTCCTAGGATCCCAAACCGAGACACAGATGGTTACAGATGGTGCTGTCCGCCCAGATCTGGGCAGGCAGCAGTGGTCACCCCAGCACTGCCGTAGCTCTCCTTGCCCAATCTCCCCTTCTCTGTTTAATGGCCCTGGAGGATCAGCCGTCCCAGGAGCACCAGGAAGCTGAAGAGCCTCCTAGATAGCTCATTGTTCCCACTCCATGAGAAGGATCACATCTCTGCTGTCCTCCTTCCTGGGGCAGAACTGAGTCTTTGGCCTCTGGTCCGAGGACAGAAATGCTGAAGTGCCTGTGAGTCTCTATCCAGCCTGGATGGGGTTGGGCTGAGAGGCTGGTGAGGAAAGACCTCCAAGCCATGCCATAGGATGTTGCAAATGATGGTATTGCTTCTGGTCAGACTTTTGAGAGGGCAGGGAGATGGGGTGGGAAAATTAGGATCCATTTTGCAAGGATTAAGCCAATTAGCTGGCAAGGCAAGGAGAGGGTGATGGGGAACAGCCTCTCCATGATGCCTTCTCATTGTGCCAACGTGGTGGAAATCCCAAACCCTGCTGCCTCGCTTCCCTGAGCTCTCTGCTCCATCAAGGCCCTCTCTGCCACTGCTGGGCACAGACTTGGCCGCCTCACCTGCAGCATGTCCACCATCTTCTTGAGCTCGGAGGGTTTGATGCCTGACGCCTGCTGCATAGTAAAGCCCTTGAAGTTCTCAATGATGCAGAACCCATTGATCTGGGTCTCTTCGTTTTCCAGCAGCTTCTCCAAGATAATACAATAGGCACGAAGGATCTAATGGAGAAGAGACACAGCGGGGTCTTGTATGAGGTCTCATCTCCGACAGGAACCTCCCATAGGAATCAGGAGGTTCCAGGAAGATTCACATGGAATGTTAGCCAGGGTCTGCTTGTCACAGCCAGCCCCAGAACTTCAGAGCAGGGAGGGCATTTCAGGGGATGCTCAGCCACCACCACATTCCCTTTCAAGGTAGGAGCATCTCAGGTCTGGATCAATGATATGTTGCAACCAAATTCAGAGCTGAGCAGAAAACAGAGCTGAGAGAAGCAGTGAGTTACATGCCTGGAGACCTCTTCATCAAGAAGCCCTTTCTGTGGCCCATGCCTCAGTTTCCTCCTCTGCCCTGTACATCCCTCCTTTCTGAAGGACCTTGATTTAATGGCGTGGTGCCTTCACCCCATGCTGGGGGATGTACACCCCGAATTTGGCCCATGGTCTGCGCCTTGCACTGCACTGGAGGGGAAGGAAGTGGAACCCTTTCAGATGGACCATGCTCTTCCAGGCTTCCTCAAATGGTAAATTCAGAGGGCTACAGATTGGCTTCAACCTGGACGTGTGTGTGGACATGTGCATGTATGTGTAAGGATGCTGTGCTCAGACCTGCCAAGCAGGACCAGTCCTGGAGCGGGACCCCGCCCTGCTCTGGGAGCAGTGTCCGAGGTGAACTGACCTCGTCAAAGGTGATCTCCTCGTAATCCCAGTTCTCGATGTTGAAAAGCATCACTACCCGCCCATGCTTGTCCCTGCTGGACAGGATGCCGGGATAGCCGGCCTCGATGGTGCTGCGCACGGCCTCGGGGCTCAGGTTCTCAAAGAGCTCGGGGTACTGCTGGCGGAAGCTCACGTAGCCTGGGGAGAGGCACAAATTGAGAGGACAAGGGCTGCTTGCTCAGCCTCGGGAAGCTGGGGGAGCTGCCACAGGTGGGATGGACTGGCAACAGTGAGATGTCAGTCCTGAGCCCCAGAGCTGTGCATGGGGTCCACATAGGTCAGAACTCCTCCACCAAAGCGAGGGGAAAGAAGCTCAGCAGCAGACCAGCCCCGGCATGCTCAGTATTATCCTCCCCTTGCTGGGAGCTTCCCATACCTGCCTTCCCTTCAACACCTCAACAAGCAGATAAAGTAATTTTTCCCCTCGTTTCCCTTCTGTTCTTCCTCTCTATTTGGGTGACATCCCCCAGCTGCCCTCCCTTGGTACCCTGCAGGCATGAAATAAGGAATTTTGTCCTGGGAAAATGCAGGCAAACAAAACAGCTCGTTTGGGAGCCAGCACTGATAATTACAACTCATTATCTCCCAAGCTGACACAAAGAAGAGCAGAGCTGGAGCCAGGCAGGTCCCAGTCAGCAGGCACCCTCCAGGCTGCCTTCCTGCTTCGCCTCCATCCCTATGTGTCACTCCATCCATCCCTACA